TGATTTGAACAAACAACTTTCTGAATGTTTCTTGTGCTATATCCGGTGTTGCCGCTGTAATGAATAAGCGTAATTTCTGAATATTGTTTGAAGATTTTGCGTGTCACCTACGTAAAACCAAGAGGAGAAACAGCTCAGTTCCTTCTCACTCCCCTTTTTGGGCAGTTCTGGAGGTGCCTTTTCTAATTGGCACTTTTTGTTTAAATTTATGAAATTAGAAGTGGCAGTTCGTCTTTGACATGGTAATAAAAAAAAGGAAACACGGCTCTCAAACAGGAGCCATCGGTCATTGTGTGTTGTAGTTCCACCTCCTGTTTACCTATGAAATATTTTAAATACCTTTTATGATTGTCATAGTTGCTGCTTCAGTTCTGTAGCGTTCCTGTACAATGGGGGAAGGGTTCAGCGTGAGAGAATTAAGTTGGGACTTCTCTTTCTTTAGGATAATATGCAAATTTTAGTTGGCGTTGTTTGCAAAACAGAAACATCGGTTGTTTATGTGTTTTTGTAAAGAAAGCCCCTTGGACACCAGAACCTGCAGTGTTGGGAATAACACAACCCCTCTCCCCGATTTGTTTTGCTGATATTTTGACAATAAAACCAGATACAGCAAGAAAGTAATTATAGGTTGTTTTGGAGACAAAGAGGAATGCTCTAAGAGGGAGGCTGAAACTTGATAATTTAGTGCTGTTGCTCTCTGGTGTGGAGTGTCTCTGTTTCAGAATGTGAAGTATCTCATCTCCCTGCACCCTTCCAGTTTTTGGTTTCTGCCTCTGCCTAATTAAGCAGGTGAGAAGACGAGTAAACACTGGCCCCCAGAGCCACTGGGACAAAGTTAAATCTGCTCCGAGTTCCTAAAGATACCTGACCTGGATTTACCCAGCACAGAAACTTCCTTGTGTTCCACCGAGGCTCCTCCTCTTTCCTGACGGGATCTCTCACAAAGTCCTCCTGCTTCTTCTGGAATGCTGGAGTGGTTCAAAATGTTTCTGTCTTGTGTATCTCTGGATATGAAAATCAGATTTTGTATTCTGGATTAATCATTGACGTGCAGGTTGTTTCCTTTGTCAGTTGAAGAGGGAGGAGTTCCTTATGTGATGTCAGGGTGAGGAAAGAGGGAAAAGGTTCTCTTTGATCCCTGAAGCACTGGACACTTGAAAACAGGAAAATTATTAATTTCACAAGGAAGCTCTTTTGTCCTTGGCTCTCTTCTGCTGCTTGGATTTAATAGGTGGTGAATAGCATTAAAATAGTGCTTGAACTGCTTTTATCATTGGAATGTTACAAGGTGTCCCTGCCTGAACTTACACTGCATTTAAGTGGTTTTTTTTTAATCTGTCATTTACAAAACACACTAAAAAAATTCCTTGAGGAAAAAAAAAATCAGTAGTTCAGTTTTAGATTAATCACAGTGTTTTTGTGTGTTAGTTGTTTGCAAATGGCCTTTTAAGAGTTATTTTATTGGGCAGTACTGTTCCAGACCAAAGGTCAGGGTCATAGTGCTCTTAATGTCTGGTGAGTCATAGATTTGTCCTGGAATCCAGTTCTGGGAGATATTTATAGGACATTGCCAGTGTCTGATCCCCTGGAAGGTATTCCAGCTGGGGAAGAAAATGCATTTGCCTGCTCCTTTCCAGCCTGATTTGATGCCTTCTCACATACTGTGAGGGAGGTGATGTTTTGGGTGTTATTATGTCTTGTCCCATAAAATACTCCTAAACTGTCAATTAGTCACTGTGAGCCTTTGGGAAAGCACCTCATTAATAAGGGAAGGTTTTTAGTTATTCCAGTTATTAAATTCATTATTCTCAATGGTGACCAGGATCTTTTATGGTGTTTATGAGCCTTTTACTCTGAAATATTTTGTTGCTGGTTGAGGCTGCTGTTTCAGTCGCTCTGTCATTAGGTCATCGCTGGCACTGGCCCCTGCAAAATACTCCAGAGGGAGTGACAATCCCTGCAGTAAGCAGATCTGGAATAATGGGATGCTCCCAAAATTCTCAGCCTCAATTCCAAAGCTGTTGATTAAAGCCCAGCTGTAACCACAGTGGGTTTGCTCAGCTCCCACCCTCTGGGGAGGTGTCAGTGGCTCTTGTACCTTTAGCTCCAGGAGTGGTGCTGTTCCCAGCCAGCTGAGGTGACCCAAATCCTTGGATCCTGTCGGTGTGTTGGCTCTTTCCCTGGTGTTCTCAGCACTGGCCAAAGCTGTGGCCCTTCTGTCATCCTGCAGAGAACCTGCTTTTCCTTGCCAAACAGATCTTCCTGCAGCTCCAGGGAGTGATGGAGGGAGAAGGCAGGGAAGAGCCTGGCTGCAGTGCTCTGAGTTTTTATCTCTGCCTTTCTCAGGAATGCCTCCTGTGCCTCTCCAGTTTGGGAAGAGCTTGCCAAAAGAGCTCTCCATTTAATTTTTGTACGATCCCAAATTCTTGACCTGGGTAAGAATTGCCAGTCACTGATGGGACGTGCAATAAATACTGTTCTTTGTCAGTTTTGAGTTCCCTGATGCTGCTTTTCTTTGGATGGCAGGAGAGGGTAGAGTTTTGTTATTTCCATGCACCTGTAACAACCCTTCACATCTTTAAACATCAGCCTCCAAGTGTGTGGGTTCCTGCCACTCCTTCACTGTCCCTCATTCTTCCCTTCACTGTTCCTTGAGCCGTGCAGTTCTCTGGTACCCTGTTCAGAGAGACTGAATAAGAATGCAGAGTAATAAGAATAAAGAATATAGAGATCTTAAATGCAGGAAAAAAGAAACCACATTCACTAGTACTGAAAAGCTTGTTCTAATATTGAATTGGGGTGTCCTTCCTTCAGCAGTGGCTGCAGAAGTGTGTGGAACAGGGGAAGGTGGAGCACATCTTATAAAGTGAAATGTGCTGATAAAACAGCCTGATTCTTCTGTCAGGTTTCAAAATTGTGGGCAAAAATAATGCCCCTTGGAAATGGTGGAGTAAATGCATTTCAGATAACCTCGTGGATCATCCAGTCCTTGGATTCAGCTGCAGTTTGCTGGGGCTTCTCTGTAGTGTTTTCCTGTTTTCTAGTATGTTCTGTCCTGTTGTGTAAAGAATCTTCCTGCAGCACAGGAAAGTCATGCACAGCACTATTAGATATGTCAGCTGATGAAGTGAAAAATACCTGCTGAGAGGGCTGTAAGTTGTTACCTTTAACTGAGCGAGTGCATGGGTTTAAAATTGAAACCCGTTTTTAAGCGAGATCCCTTTTACAGTTACCTTAACGAGGTTCCCGAGCTTTTGAACTGGAATTGGTCCCACTGATCTTTGGCAGGAAAAGAATAACTGAATGTAATCACTGAAAACAGGTGAGTGTCAGCGAATATGAATGTCTAGTTTGATAAAATGCATAAAGATGACCATATTTCAGAATTCCAGATAAATGCAGTGGATTCCAGGACTGTGTGGGAAGGCAGTGGCTGTAGGAACACTCCCTCCAACAGTGCTCATGTTCTGCCCTGAAAGGAACCTGTCTGTGAGCAGGACTCTGATGTCATGGAGAATGTTCTCTGTTTCCCTTTGTGTGGTGTGGTGATTTTTGTTGTCCAGTTTGTTCCTTTGTCTCAAGAGAAAAGTGGTTTCCATTGTTAACTGCCTGTTTGTTATTGAGGCATGTCTTTTAACAAGCTCTTCATTTCCTGGTGAGAGGGGGAGGCCTTATCAGTGCTGAAATAACGACTATATTTGTTATTCTCTCCATGGTTTTAGCAAGTGAATAATTTGGATACATTTTTCTCATGCATTTGCAGAGGCACTTACATTGGAAATTAAATGAAGGACCTTTTGGTTTGGGGTGTGGGGTGTGGTAGTGGTCGGAATATCCCAAATAAGAGAGAAGTTGTGGGAGGTGATTGTTCTTGTGGCATTTTTTTGTGAGCAGAACTGGACGCTTTATTTCCCACACTCGAGGAAGTTGCATAACATGTCAGCGCCTTGCAGGTCTGTGCACTCAGTCTTTTCTCTCAGTCCTTGTTTTTATATCTTTATTAATTTATTTCTGTTGAAGTGTTTTGGCCCTGTTCTCAGACTCTCTGTGAAATTATGGAGAACACAAGTGAGCATTTCTCTGGGTGTGCCTTCAAGCAGATCCCCAGTCCTGGCGCCAGGCAGGGGGTATGGTTCTGAAGAGACCTTTCATAGTTTTTCCTCTGTGCTTTAAACATAAACATGCTTTTCCACGGCAGATGTGGTGTTCATCTTCCCAGTTTTGTTCAGTTTTTAACAGGCATGCCTGAAATATATGGGATGTCCTCTACTTAGTTGCTGCATCCTGATTTGTTTTTCATGAGGGATCTTGATTATTAGATGGGCTGAAAGACCATGGAAAATATTTGACACCACCAATTGCCATTCTGTTTTGTCAAGCAGTAGTTACCATAAGGGGAAAAAAAGAAGTTGGATTTTACTGGACTATTAATGGGTTTATGGCTTTTGGGTGAGAGGGCTGCTGTGGTTCCTGAATCTGGGAGCGGTTCCTTTGTGGAGCTGAAGAGGGGTAATGCTGAGGTGCTGGTAATGCTCTGGTGCTGGCAGTGCTCTGACGATTCTGAGGTGTGTTTGGATCTTTAATTTACTCAAGCTGCCTCAGCCCCCAGCAATACTCCGTGCAGAAAGGCAGCTATTCCTGTGGAGCCAAAGAAATTGCTGCCCTCTTGAGTGGTGTCGGTTTTGACTGGAGAGACAGGGGCAAATCAGCTTTGCAAAGCTGAGGAAGGCTGTGCTCTGAGTGCAGGTCAGGAGAGAGCTGCTCCTGCATTCCAGAGTGGCTCCTTGTGCCTCCATGTGTGACTGTCAGTGATCCTGAGTCTTCCTGAAAAAACTCGAGTATTTGGTGTAAAATCAAGACCACAGCAAGGATGCTTGCCAAAACACCTGAGCTTACTCTGCATCTCTTTCAAAACTGAAATCCATTATGTGTCACCTCTCCTTTCCCTCGGTGGGAATGACGAGGATAATTAAGACTTGTTTTGTCTGTGTGTGTTTCAGATTGTGCAGTGAATGTCCATAAGAACTGCAGGAACTTGCTGGCTGAATGCAGCAGCATCAGACCCAAGGTGGGCTTTAACATTTGTTCTTCTTCTATAATGACAAGCTTCTTAAGTAAGTTTAATTTATGTGAGTGGTTTAGTTTACACCAGTACAGAATCTTGCCCTACATCTTCAACACATCGAGTAGTTATTAACTTGTCATTATAGTAATTAATGCTAATGTATGGAGGGGAAATAAAGTGAAACATTTTATTGCTGTAGTGAAAATGACTTACCCTGTGCCTCAGAACTGTGACTAACCCTTATGAGGATGCTCAAACCCATCACTTTTTTGGGGGAACATAATTAAATTATATGGTGCCTTTTGAGTTTTGTGCTGCTGTGTTTTAATAGGTTGTGCCCTGTCAGAGCTGAGGGGTGGAGGGCAATTTGGGCATAACAGCTGCATGTTATTTCTAAGCTGGGCAATGCAGAATAAGTTATTTCATTGTGAACTGTGATGAACTTTGCCTTGCAAAGCTGTCGGTTTTTAATCTGTGTCACCGTGGTGCCTGTGATTGCACGTAAGGTCACAGGTTGGTTTCAGAGAGATGTCTGTCTGCCAGGGTCTTTTATTCTGCTATTGCTTTTGAAAAGCATTTCCTCCCCCTTATAACTAATAATACTTGAGGGAGTTTTAGTTTGGTTTAACCTGCAAGTGTTGATGACTTTCAGAGACTGATAGCAGATTAGGGAGTACTGTGAGGGGGAAAAGAGAGAGCAGAGCAGCTCAGACCTGAGCAATTAGAGGTTAGAGGAAGTGCTTTCAGCCATTGGTGATATAGCATGGAACTCTTTTGGGGGCAGAAATGTTCTTGTGGGGTTTTTGATATATAATTTTAAACATCTCGGGCCATTGTGCGTTTCCCTTTTAAACCAAAAGGTTCACTCGCTCTGGTGTTTTCACTTCCACTCTTCACCACCATCACCCAAACTTTCCTGGCAGAATGAGCCCTGACAAACCACTCCTGAAGAGAGCAGAGAGGGAAGGGTGGCACAAAATGGGGTGAGGAAGGAAGTCAGAAATGAGAACCCCAAAGGGAAGCTCCCCCAAAAGCCATTTGTTACAGCCTTGTGTTACTTGTTTAATTGTATCTCAGTGGTTTTTAATATGCAAGAAGGTTGCAGAAAGTTGTACAGATGTACCAAAGGTGCAGTTTGAAATTTTTATGGGTTAGTTTAGTCAGTATTGCTGTAAATTAAACAACAGCAAAAAGCAGGTGAAGACTGTCAGCATAAAAGGTCTGCTTTCATTTAATACCTTAATTATCACAGCTTTAGTTCAGCTGTAGCTTTGTTTTTAGTTGCATTTCAGCCTGATTTATTCTTCCTGGGATTTTTACTCCAAGTTTAATGTCTATATACCGCTTTTCTGACGCATGGAAAAAATAAAAGCTCTTGCTGCGTGAAATCTTTCGTATTTTCAGTGTAGAGCTTCACTTACAGTCAGGGCTATAGGACAGGAAAAATCTGATTAATTTTGGACTGAAAGTTTGCTCTGTATGTGTAAGAATATTGTCTCTTTTCCTGCAGCAGAAAGATCTGCAGCACAGACCTTCTGGATCTCCACAGAGTTCGCCCCAGTGCATTTCCCCAGGTTTGTACTAAAGAATGATTTCTGGGCTCAAGGCTTATCTGTTCGATTGTATTTTTTTTCTTTAATATGTTTTAAAGGCTATACACAGTGTGTTATTGAAGTATAGAGAAGGTCTCTTTTAATAAGATGGCTTCATTTTTTTTTCTATTGGGAACGGCTTAGAGGCTCCTGGCAATCTCCTGTGTGTTTTTATCTCTTTATCTTTTTATTTTTCTTTATACCTTCTTGCTGTGTAACCTCAAAATATCATGGTGAAAAGGGATCAATAAGCTCGTTTTTCATTGATTGGCTATTCTCTGGCCTCTGAAAAGACTAGAACTGTGAACTTTGTTTTACATCAGATTTTCATAATTGTCTATTTAAAACTTGCCTGCAGCTAGTGGTTGCTAGAAATCTCTAAGACAAGCTAGCACTAATGGTCTGAACATAAGTCTTTGTTGAAACAAAGTAGGAAAAAAGGATCTGGGAGGTAAAAAAAGAAAAAAAAAAAAACCAAGAAGAAAGAACAGCTGTCTTGCAGCATAAGCTCTGAAATATCTTCTTGCTCCTGGAAAAAAGACCATCACGGTCGCAGGTGCGTTAAATGGCATTTTAATTCGTAGATGTTACAAGGTGTGCGTTAAGAGAACAGACTCATTTCCTCTGAGGTGTTTGGGTGGAACTGGAGCAGGTTTATTTGATTGGCAGCTGTCAGAACACAGCTGACATGGGTGCCTGGGCATTGCTCTGGGTATTTCAGATACCATTTACATTAGGAGGTGGCTTCTTCACGACACAGTTCTTACCAAGTAACACAGGGAACAGTGGTTATAAGGAGATGAGTGGCTGTTTGCATGACCAAGAAGGAGTTTGTGCATTTGGGAGAAAGAGCAGAGGCTAAAATAGGAAGAAGGGCTAATGAAATGGGAGAAGTTGGCTGTGGGGCTGGTGGTGAGCAGCTCTGTGGTACCACAGCCTGGTCTGTGTGAGGGTAACAGCGATCGATGAGGGCTCTCAGCAGTGAGCAGACAGTGCTAATTGAACTCAGAAAATGGCTTTTTCTCGGTGCAGACTCTGCCAGGCAGCCAGTGCTCATTTTCCATGGTCAAAAGCAGAGGCTGGAAATTAAAGGAACAGCTAATAACCTGGGCATTGTATGTTCTTACCCACAGCATAACCCTGCACGCTGCAGTGCCCAGCCAAAAAAAACCCCAAAGATGTTGGATCAGTGTAAAAGAGAAATTAATTTTAAGAAAGGTATAAACTGTGTGTCTCCTATCCCTCTCCCCACATTGTGCCTCTGGAGATTTTTAGGTTTGGCCTATCACTGGGAAACCAAACTTGATGTTCCTGGCTTGTGGAGCAGGGAAAGAGAACTCAATGGCCATGATTTCGGTACTTCCCCAAGTGGAGATGGGAGGGTGTTGGTTATTAAGCCTTTGTTTAAGAAATCTACCTTGACAAATGGTGCTAATATCTAATTAGTCTCCTCTCAGGGCTTGGAGCTCATCACTTGGAGCTGATGGAAAGGACTCATTTTACCCAGATTGTTGTAGACTGAGAACGTGCTGTGTGTATAGCCAGCAGCTTTCAAAGCCAAGCTTTTGGGAAGGGTATTTCCAGCAGGAAAAGATGTGGTGATATAATGTCTGTTAAATGTCATTGATGAAACCTCCCCTGCAGCCCTAAAACAATTGGTGTGTCAGTGAAGATGAGAGACAAGCAGACGTAGAGCACGGGATATGAAAAAAATGTGGGAAAACCTGTTTCATGAGAAGAACCACAAATCCCTTGGTTTAACTGTGCTTCACTGAGCAAGGCAGACGTGGAGGAAGAGATAATTATCAGTGGAGGTACACTGGGGAGTGCAGACTAAGAAGGAGGAACTTTTGGGGGTGGGTGGACACCAGTGTTTACTAGAAAAGATGTAAATCAGCGACACATAAACCTTGTCTAGGAACTGGAGACCCCCTTGAAGTCCCACAGCAGCAGCCTCCTGCTCCTGGAGCACCTTCCTGACACTGCACTGTGGCAGGAGCTTGCTCTCTGCCTGCCATGGCAGAGCCCTGGGTTCAAGGATCCAAGAGATCTCTCCCACTCCCATGTCCTTAAAAGCACTTGGAAAAAAGGGCAGCTGCAGACCTTGTCAGGGACCAGTTCTGAAGATTGGCTGGCTGAGTCTTTGGCTTTGACTTCCCTGAAGTTCCCTTTTTAAAAGGATGTATTTTGTCTCCTGGTCCTTATCACTCATTACAGACATTAGTGCTAAATAATTGTATCCATTTTTTATAAGTCTATTACAGGCTTCCACGTATTGTGTAATAGTGATTAAAGTTTCAAATATCTTTTCCAGTTCACAGTCTGCCTAGATCTAAAAAGCATTAAAAAGCTGCAGTATTAAAATTAAATTTAGCTCTGGTATCTATTATGTGCAGTGTGTGTGTGCTTGCAGATATAAATCGCTGCCAGCAATAAGCATTGCAGAGAACTTGTGGTTTTTCTGTGATCTCTGATTTTTCTTGTTTGCCACGAGATGTTCTATGCCCTTATACGGTGGGGTGTGAATAATTGTGTGTAGGTTCTGGTGTTTTACTAAAGGAGAAGATACTTTGCAATTTCCACACTAAATGGGCACAGTAGGGACCAATTTCCTGCACTTCAGACCTGCTGATTTAGCCAATACAGTAAGTTAAGTGGCAGCTTTACATTTCTAGAAGGATCACAGGTAGTATAAAAACAGAGCATCTCTGGGGCCACTTTACTGTGCCAAGTCTGAGGGCAGCCAGTGGCGAGCATGGGGAATACAAATTCAAAAAGCAGCGGCAGGAGCAATGCCATTCCAGCTCACCCCGAGCTGTCTTTTTGTGGTTCCTTTTCAAGGAAATGGAATGAGAATGTTTTTTTGGACAACGAGCTCTTGACATCCAAGATCCTGTCGGTGCTGCGGCCGCACTCGGAGCGAGGGCTGAGGGCAGGCGAGCTGCAGTGCCCGCCTCACTTTCTGAGCACCAATTCCATTTTATCCTCTTTAGCCACTTCCCTGAAGGAGCAGCCCCGAAGTCTCCTCCTGGGAGCGGATGGCACCCCAGCGCTGTCCCGGAACCTCGGCATGACTATCGCCCAGAGAGGCAACTCTCAGGCTTCACTGAACGCTGCCGGAGCCGTCAGTAAATTTGGGTGAGTGAACTGCTCCTTTTCAGACTCCCTGGCTTCAGCTGCTCCCCCCACTTCCCTGCTGTGAAAAGAAAAGCAGTTACAGAACCTTGGTTTTCAGGCTCAGGAGCTTTTAATGCTGAAAGTTGTTTTCCTGAACAATATGCTTTTTTATTGTTGTTGTTGTTGTTTAAATCACCTTGTGTTTAGTCCCTCTGTCCTGTGTGACAAAAGATACCCTATAAACAAGGGCAGTATTGGAGTATCTCTGTCTAAATTATCTCTTTTCTGGATGTATTTTTCTTGAATTGTTGTGAAATTCGGGAATCTCCTCCGAGTTCAGCTATTCTAGGTTGTTCTGGTGGTGACGGGTGTAGGAGACAGCACTGTTTGAAACTGCAGAATACCTTGATTGAAATAGCAGACAAACTCAAAGCTATCAGCTGTTTTAAGTAGCTGTTTGTTTTTGCTGTGTCCCAGTAATGCTCCTTTCCCAGTGAAAGTGCCCTTTGTACTCTGAACTGGGGCTCGTCACCAGGTGATGTCCTTTTAAACTTTTGTATCAGAAGTTACAAACTCTGCTGATGCTGCTCTAATTAAACTGCAGTATTTCAGTGGTGGACTTGCCAAATTGATTTAATTGTCTAAAGAGTGCAATGATGCCTTTTATTTGTTCACTGTAAGATAATTGCACTATAGTTTAGGACAGAGGCTTGTTAAGGTGGTTGGATTGTTTTTGTTTTGGGTTTTTTTTGTGTCAAGTAACTTAAAAAATGTGAATGTTCTTTATTGGTCCTTTGGTCTAATTTCTTTGGCCCTTTAGACTGATTTCAGGAGACATGGATGAAGGGGATTCAGGCTTTATAAAATTTAAGCAGACTTCAGATGACGTTGTCTCGCTTGCACCTTCAACAGCAGACTCCTTTTTTCTGGAAGGTATGGAATTTCTGTGCTTTTCAGGGTTGTTATGCAACTTCTTACACGGTCCTAAAGCAGCTCTGAGATGTTTTTACTCTCATTGCTAATGATGGTAATGAAGGATCTGGTGAGAAACAATAATAATGGAAATGAAATGTGCTTTTGGTCTAGATGCATATTCTGTGTCCCTCCGGAGTGAGATAGAAACAGATGCTCATGAGTTTGAGGCAGAGTCCTGGAGTGTTGCAGTGGAACAAGCCTATGCAAATAGACACAAAAACGTTAAAAAAAGGCAAGATGTCATTTATGGTAAGAGTTTATTTGTTATTCTTAAATCTTCTTCTATTTCATGGTGCCACTGTTCTGAAACAAAGCAGAAATCTTTCTTATGGGCTCCACTTTTGGCTTGTGCCTGGAAACTAAAGCCGAGTGAAGATTTTCAGGTCTGGTACCTGTCTTAGTGTGCAGGATTTCTGCTGTGAATGCTTTGAAGCAACCCACAGATTTCAGAGTGCCTCTGTAGCCAGCAAAGCCCTACTGTACAATCAGGGAGCAGCTCAACAGCCACTGGGAGATGTCCTTAAATAAGCAGGGTCAGTCACTGCTGGGTTGGGACATTAACAAGGCAAATTTAGGAGCTTCACACGAGCGTGGCAAAGACTGTGGTGAAGAAGATGATGACGGGTTTCAGAGCCTGCTCTTACATCTCAGCAGTCACTGCACAGCATATCAATGACTTCTTGCTTTTATTTTTGTATTTCCCCTGGCCCAGAGCTGATGCAAACTGAAACGCACCATGTCAGGACACTGAAAATCATGCTGAAGGTGTACTCCAAAGCCATGAGAGAGGAGCTGCAGTTCCCAAATGCCGTGATCAACAAGCTCTTCCCCTGTGTGGATGAGCTGCTGGAGATGCACGGGCAGTTCCTGCTCCAGCTGAAGGAGCGACGGAAGGAATCCCTGGAAGAAGGCAGTGACCGGAATTACATCATCCAGAACATTGGAGACCTCTTGGTAAAACAGGTGGGAATTAAATTCTACCAGTGGTGTTGACACTGTGAAACTGCTGAGAAGCTAACTGCAAGGGTCAAGTGATGTTATGTAAAGGTTTGATTTCATCCTGGGTTTAAGGTTCTCTTCCCAGTGCAGTGTTGGGAGCATGAATCCCAGGAATACATCATCACAGACAACATGGAGTGTTCACTGAATGTTCTTTGGGTGTGTGCTTACACATGTTGTGGGAGATGTGACTGCAGGTTGATTGTTCCTCTTTTTCATCTGTACCAAAAGGAAAGTCACATATTCCTCGTGTCCATCCCAAACACGGCTCTCCTGCAGTTAATTCTTGGTTCTAACCTTTGGGAAATGCAGTCAAGATCCATTGAACTCATGAGAGCTTTAGCACCATTCTGGCATGGAGTGGATGGAAAAATTTCTATGATTATTTCATGACCCCTCTTTTGCCTTTCAGCTTTTACAGTCCTCAGACTTCTGAAGTGCAGAGGTCCAGAAATCCTTTAAAAAATTCTCATAATGGCAGTCATTTCATTTTTGGTTACCTTGTGGTATTCCAAGCTCTCAGGTTGTCACACTGCATAAATCTTATTTCTGGTAGAGAAGAAATTGAAATGTTAAAGAAATGTCTCAGAAATCAGTCACCATAAAAGCATGTTGGAAAAAAAAGAAAAGGCACTACAAACCAGGAGTTTGTAGTGGAGATAAAGTTTACTCTGAATGACTCAGGTCTTTCATTTTTATATTTCCAATTAGTTTTCAGGTGAAAACGGGGAGAGAATGAAGGAAAAATACGGTGTGTTCTGCTGTGGACACAATGAAGCTGTCGGTCATTATAAAGACCTGCTCCAAAGCAATAAGAAGTTCCAAAACTTAATAAAGGTAAACAGCAACCAGAGGATTCCCACTCTGACTGTGCAAAATATACTTCACTGCTTTAGGCTTTGTTCTGTACTTGAAGATCTCTTAAATGTGAATGAGCAGGGTGGGAGGCATATTCTCATTTTCTGAGGGTTTGTTGGCTTCTTGTATTTTTTTAGATCTTTTGAGCTATTTGGACATAAAGCCACAATTAGCAGGTGATAATTTGAGGCAGGCTCTTGAGAGCACCAAGGACTGGGGAATAGAGTACCTGTTCTATTCATGGCTCTGGCTCTGCCTGCCCTGCTGTGTGGCCATCCTTGGCTTGATAATAAATTAAATCAATGAGAAATGCTGTTGATGAGCTACTGTAGAAAAAGCAAGGACCCTTAGTCAGGTTTTGCCCACCACATCATCCTTATGAAGCCAGAGGATTGGCAGTGTGCAAGTACTAGGAAGGGCTGAAGAGACACAAAGTGGAAGCTGTAACCTGAATCTCAGATGGCTCTGCAGAGGCCTAAATATTCTCATTTTCCACTCACCAGTAAGTGATACTATGTGAACTTTCCAGCGTAGCACTACACTTAGAGCTCACCTTAACCAGGTGTCTTTAAAGTGAGAGCTCTTCACTTTCAAATAAGTGACCAGAGTTTTAAAATATGTGATTTTAGTCCTTGTAAAGATAGATCTTGGTACTGTGTTCTCCTGCCAGGTCTGTGCTGTGTCTGCAGCCACAATAACTTGTGCTTTACAATCCTCCCTGCCTAAGCAGGAATGTGATTCTCTAGGTCAACCTGCTGGGGATCAGACAGTGGTAAAATAGACACTTAATTTCTTCGTTACTGGCCTAATTTGGCTGTTAGGTGGTTGGGTCTGGTTTTAAAAAAATACTTATTATATGTATTTAAGGACTGATCCTTTAAGAAGAGACAATCAGTTAGCAACAGGCAGTCATACATTTCAGATTTGGAACTTTCCCTGCTTGTCTCCACATTTAGTTAACAGTACTTGCAAAAAATACCTAAGATATTTTCCAGCACTAAAAGCCATTTTTTTGAGTGTTGCCAGAAGTTTTGCCCCAGTAAGAGAGCGCAGCTAATTTTGTGGTGCTGGGCCTAATGGACAGAAACGTTTTGGGACAGAAAACATGTGAGTGGAGAGGAAGTTAGAAGATCAGCATGTGCAATGGGTGTGACTTGCCTTGTTTTCTAGAAAATTGGGAACTGTCCCATCGTGAGGAGACTCGGTGTGCAGGAGTGCATCCTCCTGGTGACCCAGCGCATCACCAAGTACCCGGTGCTGGTGGAGAGGATCATTCAGAACACAGAAGGTGGGGTGTTTTCCAGAAGCCTCCCAGCTGTCTGTTGATACCTTTTCTGCTGTGTTTTGCATGTTCTTTCCTCACACGAGCAGGGACAGGCTGGTAGCTGCTTTCTCACTTCTTTGTTGGCTGAAGGTGCTGTTTTAGATGCGGATCCAGAGCAGTGTCACCTCATCAGAGGGTCAAGAGAATCACAGAATCCCAGAATGGTTTGGGTTAGAAGGGACCTTAAAGTTATCATCCATTTCCACCTCACTGCCATGGGCAGGGACACCTCCCACTATCCCAGATTGCTCCAAGCCCTGTCCAACATGACCTTGGACACTTCCAGGGATGGAGCAGCCACAGCTGCTCTGGACAACCTGTGCCAGGGCCTCCCCACCCTCACAGTCAACAATTTCTTCCTAATAACCAATCTAACCCTGCTCTCCTCCCTGCAGACCATTCCCCCTTGTCCTGTCCCTCCAGGCCCTTGTAAATAGTCTCCAGCTCTCTCGTGGCCTCCCTTCAGGTTTGGATGTTTGGATGGCTCATATCTTGCATTCCAAAGTTGGAAACGTGGCTGACTCTGCTGCTCTTTTCCCATAGCTGGAACGAGAGATTACGAAGAGCTGACCCAGGCCCTTAGTTTAATTAAGGACACCATCAGCCATGTAGATGCCATGGTAAATGAGTGTGAGAAGGGGCAGCGACTGAAGGAGATTATGCACAAAATGGAGGTGAAATCATCCGGGAAATGCAAGAATGGGCTTTTATTCCGGAAGGATGACATGGGACAGAGGAGGCTCCTGCTGGATGGGATGCTGTACTGGAAAGCTGCATCAGGGAGACTCAAAGGTAAAGGACCAGGAGGGGGGAAAAAATGCAACTGGGAAACGAGAATTATGTTGGGTGGTGGATTTTTTTTTTTTTTAGTAACTGTTTATTACTGATCGATTGGGTATAAAATAAGATGACAATAACCTGCTTGTTTAATAGGATATTGGAGGAAATAGCACTTGTTCTATTCTTGGCTTGGCATCTCTGCCATGGTGCACGATAAGTTCCTTATGCTGTTTGCTTATTATCTGGCTGATCTGCTTCCTAATTCAAGAGGAAGGTCTTCAGGTGGATGACAAAGCTTTGAGTCATTCTGACTTAGGTCTCCTGTGGAAAGGGCATTATCTGCTTCACACTTTGCAAAGCCTGTGTCGTGTGAGCCCCACGACACCTTCACTCTGCATAATGCCTGCTTTGCCAGAAAATCAAAACAGTGGGGCCACCAGGGAATATTTGAGCAGCTTTGTTGCTCAAGTGTTCAAGGAGAAGCTTCAGTGGCACGGAAAATTCAGCCCAGAGTAGGTAGGTGGTGCTGTGAACAGCTGCAGTTCCAGAAGAATCTGCTGCTGAGGGAGACACATTCCCTCTGGAGGAGTCCATGTGTAGGATGCCTGTGCAGGTGTTTTCAAGCTTTAAATCAGCTCTGTTTGTGCTTTGCTGGTTCTGAACAGTGTGGACAGCCCAGGTGAAAGGCAATAGCAGACCTAACATTACAAATGTTGATGTGCTGTTCCCTGACCCACAGGAAATAAAAGTGAAGTGATTTTTTTTTTTTGAGTCTGGACCAGTCTTTCTGCTTTAAAATGTGACTTCTTCTTATTTTTCTTGTCTCTGTTGTTGCTGTAGATATTCTGGCAGTTCTGCTAACTGATGTACTGTTGCTCTTACAAGAGAAGGACCAAAAATACACCTTTGCATCAGTGGTAGGTATTGATGCACTCCATATTTAATAGATGCACTTAAAGTATTTGTGACAGTGACAGCAACTACATGAAAAACACAATTAGAGGCGTCAGATACTTGTTAGAGGTTCAGAAAGAAAATTAGGTTAATAAATCAGCCAACTCTTAGGAATCACTTTTTCTGCAGGAGTTCTGGTACTTGTTGTATCCCTCCCACTGTCTCCCAGTGCAAACCAGTGTTCCCTTGCATCAGCCCGTTGGATCCACACCTGTAGTGGTTTTCTGGTGACCTGAGTGTGGTCTGAGGTTCACTGCTTCTCCTCTTCCTGTGCTGTGACTTCCCCTTTCACTGAATTTTTTTTAGGCTGAGGCTTTGTGCAGGTCACAGGCGTCACACACACCAGATCTGTGCTTTGAAAATCACTTGTAAATAAGTCCTGCCTCGGTTAATTTAATGTGCAGGGAAAGAATCTGCTGTTTCCATGAGGGACATGGTGACCATGGTCACAGTGCCCTGAGATTTACTGGGGCCAGAGAACTTTCCTGAAACACATGTAAGAGAAGCAGTAAATGCAGATGATGTTACTGCAGCACTCTAGAACATTCACTTGCTTTCCCAGGGCATTTCCACAGGTATCCTCAGAGCAGTTCATTGTGTACATCTTGTCCTGATCTAGTTCAGTTATGGCTGTAATAGAACCACTGGTGTAATTGTTTTCTTGGATGTATTTCTTTTTTAAGACATTAACATTAAAGCTGAATTCTAATGGCAGTAGCTATTTTGGTGACCTCAAAAAAAGCAGCTGCTTTTTAAATTACCCTCCTAATGCACAGAACAGGGTGCTATGTGGTGGATTTTTTTCCCCCTCTGGAAATGTGCTCTGCAGTTAGAGACTGACCAATTTTTTTTGCATATTTGTACCTATTCAGTTCGTTTGAAATTTAATATTACTTCCCCATTAATAAATCAAGCAAGTGAGAGGAGCAAATGGATCTGCTCAGTGGTCCTGTTTTTCCTGTGACCTCACTCATGGCTGGAATTGCAGTGCAGCTGCTCAGAGAAGTTGGAAAAACCTGGTGTTCCTGATTTAATTCACAGTTCAGTTCCTTGCTGTTGTTCTGGATTGTTCTGTCAAGGTCCAGCAGTTACAAAGAGCTGCTTTATCCTGGAAGGAACTTTCCAGGCTACGTATGTTGGACCTGTGCTGGATGAAGCCTGGATAGGTTTTTAGTAACTAATATCCCTCTGTAAAGGTGTTTTCCCTGCAAAGACTGCCAGCAAATCCAGTTAATCCTGGTTATACAATCTGTCACCTCGTTTCATTATTCTCAGGGCACCTCTGTGTTAGGGTTTTATTTCTTTTGTAGCTAACCTGCCAATTTAGAATCTCTAACACTTCCTCTTAGTCTCTTCTTTCTTTTTTTTCTTCACATGTCATTAAGGGTTTTTTTTTTGTTTTCTTTTTCAAATTTTGGGTCTGCCTCTTTTTGAGCAAATTTTTTTGAGCCTGTTCTTGATTTCTGGGACCCAGTGGGAATCCTCAAGGTTGTTTAAATTGACACACAGCTTAATATTCCAGTCAGGTTTTGACATGCACATTGTTCATTCCACGTTTTCATCAGGGCTTGATGGCAAAAAAAATGACAATGTCAGAAGTGTCCTGTGGAAAGGTTGGAGTTGTATTGTGATGTTGCAGCTCCTGGTGGGTCTGTGTAAGCTGGGAAGCACAAGTCCTAAAGAACATAAATAATGTAGTGCAATAAATGATGTTTTGCTTTGCAGGACTCCAAACCACCAGTTATCTCACTGCAAAAGCTGATTGTGAGAGAGGTGGCTAACGAGGAAAAGGCAATGTTTTTAATTAGTGCTTCCTTAAAAGGACCAGAAATGTATGAAATTCACACCAGCTCCAAAGAGGAGAGGAATTCCTGGATGGCACACATCCGCAGGGCTGTGGAAAGGTGAGTCAGGAGGGCAAAGCAGGAGGGCTTCACTCTTGCTCATCTGTCTTCTCTTTGCAGCTCTCAGATGTAAATTCATCTTAAAAATCCATTTGACTCTCTCTCACCTTTCTTGTTAAGACTTTAGTGTGCCTTTCTGTTTGTGTTCATTGGGAAGAAGCCACTGATAAAGGTGCAATAGAAACCAGCCAAAGACTTTATTCTGCTTTTATCTTAAAAAAAAACCATCAAAAAACCCCAAGAAATTTAGTTCAAGGATGTCAAATGCAACAGGGCTTGGGATGGAGGAGGAAGAATGACACCCAGGATAAACCACATCCAAGGCAAAAGCTTCAGGTTGAATCCTGAGATGGTTTTAAATTATCTAATGTGCAAATCAAGCACGGATCTGTCTTTCCTTTTGTGCAGCTGTCCTGATGAAGAAGGAGGGACATTTAATGAACCTGAAGCAGAGAGGAGGATGGCTGAAGCGAGAGCTGCGAAGTTAAAAGATTTCCAAGGTAATGACTTCGTTATATATTCCATGAGCTGCTTTTCAGCATCATCTGTGATTTATGGCTGTCTAATTCTTTATTATCACCTGATGTGATCAAGTTTCTCCTTCATAAGTCTTTCAGAGCGGTGTAAGATTATATAGAAATAGTTGCTGAAGACTCTAATAAGCTTTACCTGCTCCATGGGTTTTCCCCTTAACTGTTAATTACATCTCTGCATTTGATGTTCTGATCATAGAATGAGTGATAGTCTTCCAAACTGAACACTGGATTTGTTCCTTCCTTTAGAGCGTTTGAACATGAAAGACGAGCTGATCCTGCAAAGTCTGACTGAGAAGCAGCAGATTTATGCAGAGATGTCTGAAATGAATGGCTTTGAAGACCATTCCCAAGGATCCCGAGCTCGGCTGCTTTTCCGGGGGGAGGTCTCAGAAAACCTGCAGGGAGAGGCGATTTTGAAGTCTGCAGTGACTGAAGGTGGATGGAATGTGGGGCTGTGCAGGCATTCACTCAGCTGCAGGGGTGGGGACAAGCACCTGGGACCTAAGTGCAGGTCCTGAACACCACCCTGTAACAGCACAATATTTTTCTGTGACATGGTGCAGACTTCCTTGTTGTCAGAACCAATCTGCAGGAGAGGTGGAGTGCACTCGTGGGTTTAGGTAGAAAACCTGCACAGCTTGGATTGGTTTATTTGTTAAAATCAACCAGGGGAGTCTTGGGATGAGTCTGTTCAGAAAGGGTAACTGAGTGCTCTAATAATACACCAATCCTGAAATGTAATATTACAGGATGGTTGTATATTAAAAATAGCCTATCTAAAGATAGTATGTTTAGGAGGAAAATAAGCACAGGCTTAATTTCTCTTCTGAAGAGGAAAAAAAAAAATTCAAAAACAAACATTCAAGGCTTGATAATCTTAACTTGCAGTTAGGTAAGAGGTCATCTGTATGCAAAGAGCCTGTCATACAGAGCAAGTCTCATCTGTACTGCAGGACCTCTCTGACTACCTGATCTTTTAATTGGTTAAAACATTTTTTTTAAGCTTATTAGCATGACAACTTCTTGTATGGCAGCACAGACATGGCTGTTTACATGACATGTTCTCCTCTTTCCTAGCTGAAAACCTGCAGGACCTTATCTTCACTCACTTTGGCAGTGGATCCTGTCAGCCTGAGGATGGCTCTGGCTCAGGACTCCCCAGGAGGGCAGAGACCTTTGGAGGATATGACAGCAGTCCCTCAGTCTCAAGTAAAAGTAAGAAAAGGACTATCCAGCATTTTCCTGAGCTCCTCAGCTCTTTAATGCCTTCACTGCACAGAGAGTGAGAACCAGGAATTGAGGCTCTCACATAAGGAAAATTCTTCACCTGACTCTAAAAGGAGGATCCAGAGCAAATCTCCAGCATACTGGATTTTTTTACTCCTGATACCAACACTAGAGAGCAGAGTAGGGCTCTCAGTGTTACACTAAGAGCATAGCCCATGCTTTATGGCCTTAACCCATACTTTGTAATTACCACAATTCCACACAGGATTTTAGTTCTGTTGAAAAAAATGAGCTTGACCTGAAAACCTAGAAAATTGGAATTCAGCTGTCTGCTTTTATTGTTGAGTCACGAACACTTTTTTCCCACTTGGTATCTGCACAGTCACTAGAGCTTTGCTGAATCCTTAGATAATACAAATTGTCCTTTTGGCACAGATGATTTATCAGCTAATTAATGAAATGGGAGGAAAGACTAGATACTCTTTATCTCCATTTCTGCTTCATGCATTTATCAAAAAACCAAATGGTCTTTATTTCACTGGTTGTAAATCCCTAAAATACTTCTGTTGCCTCTGAAATGTTCTCCGTGTGTCATAACATAGGTACTTTTTACAACATAGTTTCCATCTCCCTTTACCTCCTTCCACATTCCCAGTGGTGCTGCTTTGAATAGAATATTCCTACTAACCAGTATTCCATGTTATGAGCCTGCAATTCCGGGAGCCACAGCCGATTATTTCCATGCAGACATCGTGGCTCCTTGACTGAAAATAGTGTCACAGAATTTGAACTTACTCTCCCCATTTATTTTAACCCGCTCTCCTCAAGTTTTTAGACTTTTTTTTGAGCAGTCCACTGTTGTCTGATCTCCCAGCTGGAATCAGCATGGAGAAGCCGTTGTGAATTGCAGTTGTGAATTGCTTCTGTCTTCACACTCACTGTGTTTTTGTGCTTACTCTGTCGCTCACTGAGTTTTCCCAGCCCCTGTGGTGCTGGTGTGAGCTCCTCACACTCCACTCCTCTTTCAGGTGGGAGGAAGAACAGTGGTGGTGAACAGAGACAGTGGGACTGGAGAGGCCCTGCAGCAGGTTCAGATGTGCAAGTCCATGACCTCTCTTCTGATGCAGAAGAAGGATCTCAAGCCGTATGTTGATTTTATGAGTGATTTAAATGCATTTCCTCGTGTTCCTCGCCATAAGAATGGTGCAGAACAAATCTCACAAAGTTAAAAGTCCTGATAGCTGGCAGGGCTGGGCTGGAACAGTTTTGTCTGTCAAATTACTCAGCTCTATTTAGGATGCTTTGTGGGGTAAGTTGGTAGCTTAGCACTTGAGAGACAAGATAAATCACTTTTCCATTTGCTCGTTTGGTGCTGTACCATTAACACTGCCTTTAATCACCATGCTCCTGTGCCAGCCTGGCCCCTCTGATTTCAGTATTTTTGATGTGTGTCCTTCAGTGCATGGGAGCAATCTCTGCTCCAGCAGTACCTGTTCCTTCATGGGGTGAACCCTTCCAGCTTGTTCTGGCAGCACTGCCAGTGCCCAACAAGTGTCTCTGTGTCTTTTTTACAGAGTGATGGAGTGAGGCTGGATGAGAGCAGTGGTTTGCAGCCCACCATAGAGTCTCAGGTAGGTTACTTCTGCTGTTAAAAAATCCAATGGCAAATAGCCACGTTATAATAATAGCATGGAAAACCAAACCAAAAAAAAAAACCAAACAAACCCACTAAAAAGTCATTATTTGTAAGATCCAGGGATTCCAACAGATTAATCTGTATCTTATATCTCTAACACGTGATGAATGCAGAGATGAAAGTCCCACAAAAAAGCAAAGGTGTTTTTTAAAGTCTAATATATCCAAACAGCTCTGCCTAAGTACCCAATGCTTTTTTTTCCTCCTTTTCAGCTTGTGCAGAGGATACAAACACTGTTACAGTTGCTCTTCAGCCTTCAGGTAAACCACTGTTTGCTATCCAAGAGATTTGTAAAGGATTAAATATAATAAAATGTATGCAGGTGTGAGGAGGAGCTACCGTGAAAATATTCCCTAAAGCTAGAATGAAGTGCACAGTTCAGACCTGAGATTCCAGGAAACCAACACTGTGTCTGGTATTTGGAAGGAAGGGTTAGAGCAGTTGTCTGAAGTAACTGTTTCCTTTTTCCTGCCCACTTAATTCTTTTGCTGCCTTGAGCTCCATCTGCTCCGTGTGCTCATTTCTTCTTTAAGTTGTTGATGTCCACGTGTGTCTGTATTAGTTGGTTTTGCTGCAGGCCTGTAATCAGCAATATTTTGACTAGTTTGACTCGGGGTAACAATTCTAGGTGCAAGAAACATTCACTTTGGCACACATAAGCATAATTTATTTGCTGGGCCATCTTCGATACCATGTTCAGACACCACGGGCTGTACAAGCTGGAGTTTAGATCTGCTCTGGAGGAGGACAAAAGACCCTGTGATGATCTAACCTGGTAGATGCTGTTGCCTTCTGCTGAGCTGTGCATGTGTTCTGAACCCCTGCAGGCGGTGATATCCCAGCAGGACAGTTACATTGAGGTGCAGAGAGCCACCGCCACCATGGCAGAAAAGCAATACCGCCTGCAGTCCACCCGAGGGAATCTGCTGCTGGAGCAGGAGAAACAGAGGAACTTGGAAAAGCAGAGGGAGGAACTGATGAATGTCCAGAAGCTTCAGAACCAGCTGAAGCTGGAGCAGCAGCGCCTGGAGCGGGAAAGGAGTCGGCAGCAGAGGGAGTTTGAAATCAGGGAAGCTCGGCTGCAGGAGCGCGAGGAGGAGGCTCGGCAGAAGTTGGAGAAGGTGAATCAGGACAGGGAAGAGCTGGACAGGCAGCAAGAGGCCTATCAGCACAACCTGGAGAGGCTGAGGGAAGCCCAGAGAGCAGTGGAGAAGGAGAGGGAGCGTCTGGATCAGCTGAGGAAGCTGAAGAAGCAGAACACGGTGTCAGGCACCTTCTCCCCAGAAATGGGCCAGGTGAGGAATTTGTTTCCTTGGAGCGTTATTTCTGTTGAACTACTTGCTTCTGAATAAAGGTTGCACTTGTTACAGCACCAGCCCATTTTTGCATTTTACTGGGCTCCTTGAACCACCATCTGAAATAGCTGGTGGTGGCTGCTATCAGAGAGATCAGAGCTTGGCAGTTCCCCAGTGTCTGTGAAATTCCATAATTACCAGACAATGTCTGGTAATGAGAATATTTTTATTAAAAGATAGAAATGGAGAATAAGTTATTTTTTGATTGTGGCTGACGGAGAACTTTTTAAATTCAGGAACCTCCCTATTGCAGGCAAGTGATTGCAGAAGCTGTGCAACACCTGTAGCATTTTGTACAGCTGATTTCTAAAAACATTTCCAGTGTTTCATAATGGGAACTTCGAGGTCTGATTAAATTGGTTCTTTGATACCATCTGAAAGTCCTGCTTTCCATCCTACCATCCCTCAGTGCAGTCTGCTCTTGCATTCCTTTCCTAGGTGCAGTATTAAGCAGTTTGAGGCTGCTGAGGTTCTTTTTGGTGTCCAAGGACTCACACTCTTGCTCTTCCTTCTGTTTCCCAGCAAGCTTCAGGCATCATCTTACCCATTCTCCCTTTCCCTAGGAAGCGTTTCGTGTTCTCAGGGTTGAGGGTGACCTCTCCTTATCGTGCTGGAGAGGGTGAACCCCCCCCCCATTTGCCTTAAAACTCCTTTTTCCTCACAACAGAGCCAGATGCTGAGTCATTCCATCAGCTTCAACGGGGAAGGGCTGGATCCCTGTCCAGCTGTGCCCAAATCCTCGGTGAGAGTGAGCGTGGCCGGGCTGGATTACCTGGAGCGGCCGGACTTGGTGCGCAGGGACAGCACCACCCTGGAGAACAGGCCCGCTCTGGCCCTCAAGAACGAAGTGCCAATACATCTGCTGAGTGCTACCAACCAGATCCAGAAACCTGCTGCAGTCCAGCAGCAGATCCCTACCAAGCTGGCCACCTTCACCAAAGGAAGCAAGGAGAAAGGTGGGAAGAGCAAAGCGTCTCACAGGACGGACAGTTCAGGTGTGTGTGTATTTAAGTCCATTTAAGGGCGTTTCTAATCTCTGCCAGCATCACAAGGAGACAGGACACTGCACTTTGAACCTCTGGGTACCCATGTAGAACCCAGAAATTAATGTGCCACAAGTTATTAGTGTGCTTGCTGCAGTTAAAAATCTCTTAACCTCTCAAAATCCTTATGTTAGGACTTACATGTCAGTGCTGTTTAAATCAGAAATACAACCCAAAGGGATAATGTTGAAAAGGGAATTGTGTCTTCCAGCATGACAGAATGATGGTGAGAGGTGGTGCACCTGGATGTAAAATCCCCTTGTCTATCTGTAGTGTTAAACAACAAAAGCAAAAGAAGTGAAATGTTTTGAGGCTGGCTTAGCCTTTCCTTACTCTCTGTCCAGAGTTGTAGTGGTGTTGAATGCAGTGCCTTTCTTAGCACCAGTCAGTCATTAAATACAGATCTCTGGGCCAGAATTGGGATGCTGTGTGTGTTGTAGAGCTGGAAGGGGCTAATTTTGTCCCAAACAGAAGCAAATAAAAATACAGTCACCCTGTCCTGGTGTAATTTCTGCTGCTGACTACTGGGTACTGGAGTAGTGATGTTTGCCAATGACAGAGGCAGCAAAAACCACTTTGTCTCTACCCCTTAAAATAGCCTCATTGCCAGCTCAGGGGAATGGCCTGTAATTCTAAGTTATAAAATTATCTTTTTAGTATTGTGTAGGATTCAGACTTGGCAAGTTTGACCATCACTTGGGCCTGCCCTGCTACAGCAGACTCAGGGCCAAAGCTGTCAGGGAGGGGAGGGGGAACTGCTTTGGCACGTTGTAGAAACATCCATTTCTGTCATGCCTGAAGTTTAGTGCAGTTGCAAACTTCATTATGATTCTGCACATAAATGAAGCCTAATATCCTCTTCCCCTGCATGGGAAATAAAGCTCCAATTCCACATCTCCCCAGGTTTATTTTTAATAGCTTTTACATAACGGTCTCTGCAGTGGAAATGTACTTAATGGTGTTTTTCTGTAATTTATATGACAGGTATAAACCACAAATACCTTGGTCTCTATTCTCTTGTGAGCATTAGTGGGGTACTCATGCCCATGTGCAGATCTCGGAATAAAAATGGAACAAAACTTTCTGTACCAGAGGCAAAGTGCCGTGTATTGAATTTGGGTTTCGTGACACGTAAGGAATGTGTACTGAGAGAGGGAGAGAAGTTCTTTGGATCCAGAATAACCATTTCATGAATTGCCTTTATTGTTGAATTAAGGAACTGAGAGGCTATGACAGCAGAATCAATGTGCTGTGCTGCTGAGCAGCTGTGAGACAGATGGAGAGCAGAGACAAAAGTTCATCACAGCTCTGTGTGTTGGAAGTAGCACAAATGGCCACTTGCTACTTGAATGCTACAAAAGATTTTGTTTCTCTCTGCTCTGCTTGGTAATACTGGGGTTCAAATCTGAGGTTGTCAGGGGCTGAATTAGAAGTCTCAAGGAAGAGGAGAAAGTATTCATGGTTTAAACAGCTGAAGAGAAAATTTAACTTGCAACAGCAGGACCAGCTCTCTGTGGTATCACAGCTTCCTTGGATGTACAAGGTGTCAGCACAGTGGGCCCCAGCATGAAACAGTGAGGTTTGTGAGGTACTGCTCACCTCAAATACTGATTTGTACAATGGTTTTTTTTCCAGCATCTGTTGATCAGAAGCAGCTGCTTCCCCCCAGGCTTGTTGCACGAGAGGAGGGAGTCCTGAGAGGCAGGCGGTCAGCGAGCCCAGTCCTCCCGAGCGGCCAGACCACTGCATTCCAGCCAGGTACGTCCTGGCCAGCCTGCCTGGCTCTGGGAATGCCTCAGGCTCTCTGTGCAGTGTCATGACTGTGTCTTCTTCTGGTTTTTTCCCCTCTAGAATTGTATGGCCCCACAGATGCTCAGCCAGAAGCACTTTCACCTGCCTCAGCGAACCTATTCAAGCCCAATAACGTTCAGGTTCAGACCTTGGTGACCTCTCAGCCGAGCCTGTTGAATGTGCAAGATGATACCAGCAAAGAAGATGTCATTTTCTTCTAGTTGTTTCCATTTGAAGATGAATCTCCTGACACACTGTTTCAAGAACTCAGGCCCCAGTGTGCACCGTGATGGAGACCCGACCCATCTTCTCATCCCTGCCCAGTTACTACGAGCAAGGACCAGACCAGGATTAACTGTCCTGCCTTGCTGGCTTTTCTGCCAGCAGCTCAGAATGAGGGCACAGTAGTAACAACTTGCTTTCAAATTCTCCAGTACATGGAAATGTATTGACCCATGGCATAGGTATAGCAGTTCAGAGCACGGTAAAAAAAAAAAGGCTGCCATTTGTTGCAACGTGCTCTTCTTGGAGAATGTGCACTCTTTGTGGGCACCACCTTGTAAATGGCTGTCGGTGATGCTGAACCTCACAGGTTTTTATGGAAAAAAAATGGTAGTGGTAGGCCCCAGAACGGCTGCAAATTTTGAAATCTGTTTTCCCAGGTCCAGGTGCAGGTCCAGGCCAGTACTGGGTTGTTGGTAATTAGGTGACAGTGAGCCAGTGTCCTTCCAGCCACGTGTGCCGGGCACTGTGAGCCCAGGGGCCCCAGCCCAGTGGCCAGGAGCGGTGGAAGAGAACAGTGGAAGAGAAAGGTGAGCTTCTGACAGCGCCTTCAGGGCAGGAGCTCCATCTGCTTGTGGAGGAGGAGGGTTGGACGTGTGAGGATTCACAGCAGTGGTGAAGAGTTGGACTGAGTGCACATTTCATGGCTGGGATCTGTGTCTGTGCTGGTGAGAGCAGTGCAGGTACCCAGGCAGCACTCATGGCTCGGTTCAGAATGAACTCAGAGACTTGGACTTTGCTCTTTGCTGAAGACATGTCTAAGAAGCTTCTGAATGCAGTAATTTATTGTCTTGTTTAATCCTGTTTTCTGCATCTTTTGTTTGTCTGTTAATTTGTTGGGACTTTACTCCCAGTACCAGAAGATATCAAAGCTGCTGTTACTGCAGAGACCTCTCTGCAGCATTGTGTTAGGAATGAAGGGAATAAGAACTGTTTGGTTTTAAAATTTAAATAATAATAATAATAATAAAAATACTCTTAGCTAAACCTGTGTTTAGCTGCTTTCAGCTAAACCAGCTTTGATACCTCTTGTTAAATGGGTCAGTTCTTGATCATGGGATGGTGATGACAAGTAAGTGTTCTGCTGAAAAGGCATTATTTCCCTTTGTAGTGATTTGCACAGTTGTTTTGTGTTGTATTTTTCACTCTGTATCTCAGATCCCTTTTTACACACCTCAGCCAGGGATGTGCATTCTGGGATATGTTGAATGTGACTGGTCAGATTTATGATGCACAGGAGAGATTGTTTAGGGGTATTGTTACAGAATTAAAGAAATCAGGATCTCAGAGCTTAAAAACTTGGATGAATACCTTTCTGAGCATGATTGATAATAGTTATTTTTATATCTTTTAACTCTGATTTAAAGTGATTTTGGCAGCAGTGGATGGAAGGCCTGGTCAGTTCTCCATCCATGGCAATGGATCCAGTGGAATTTGCAGGCTCCTCAAATCACTGAGCTGTCTCTGGGTAGGCCCTGTGTGCTGACAGTAATGTCTTTAAGGCTGTAACTTCACTTTGCTTGAGAGTTTTAAAATTACTGCAGTAGTTACGGTGCAAGAAACATTACAGATTTTCAGCAGAAAACACAGGGTTTATTTTCAAGTGGTGATGATTTGGGTTGTTGTCTTCGAACGAGAAATAGAAAAACCTAAATTTACTGATCGGGGGAAAAGAAAAGCCACAAAATAGTGACTTGGGCTTGGGGACAAGCACTCCTGCTGGAACACTTGCTGGATTTAAGTGTTGTTTTCTTTACTGGTGCAAACCTGAGGCAATGGCACTGAGTTCAGTGAGAGGAAATTCAGAACCTCGTGGCTCAGGGGATGCTCCCCCAGCCTCCAGCAAAGCAGTGCTGTGAAAGTGGACACACTTTGCTGGGAAGGACTGCTCGGTGGATCAGCAGCTCTGCACAATTTACACGTGGTGATTTCTGTGTTGCTGTGATACAGTGTTGGTTAGGACATAATTCTACCCTATATTCAGTTTCCTGTTCCTGAAAGTTAGGTTGGAAGGGAGGGGAATTCTTAAAATCAAGCCAGCAGTGTGAGATCCGACAACCCAGTCACACCTCTGCTCCCCTGGAATTGCTCCCAGTGAAAACTCAGAGCCCCCTTTGCCTTAAATCCACCAGGGTTTTAGGAGTTTTAACCTAAAAGCTGAGTTTATCCGTGGAATAAACCACCTCAGCCAAAAAGGGATGTCAGTTCAGGTGTTTGGAAACAATTTTTGAAAACATTTCTTTAGTTTAATTTTGTGCCTGTCCTGAAAGTGTGGCTGGAGCAGCTCATTGGCTGCTTTCTACTTCTGTGCAATGGATGGATTTGAATATAGAACAGTGACAGCTGGAGAGTAAAGTCTGCAGTGAGGTCTCATTGCTTTTAATGTTTTAACTTAAACATAATTATATTAATACTCATTATCAGCAGTACTTTGAATAAGTTTTGGCTGTTAATAAATAGACCCAGCCCCATGACAGGCCAGGCTGTTTTTCAACCCCAAAAAGCCCCTTGGAATATGGGTCTTCAATCTGAAATAGAGAAAAATTACCTTAAAAGTAATTTTCTGACCTCAGTCCACGTGTCTGGCTGCAGTTGGCTTCGTGAAACCTGTTTTCACCCAGAAGCATCTTGGAGACAGCATCTTCTCTCACGTGGGTGTGGATCATGGGTCTTGGTGTGGCTTAGCCAAGGTTCTGGAATGAGCAGGTGCTGAGATAGCTCATTGTTAGTGCAGGGTCACCCCACCAGAGCATGGGCAGGTGATTCCTGGAAGGCTGAGGGAAGCAAGTGAATTGTTTTCTTTGAATGAATCAAGGGCCTCTTCACTTGTGCAAAACTGAATCTGTGAAATTGTTATCAAACCACTCCAGCTGAGTGAACTTGGTTTGGACTCTGTGCTCAAATCTCGGTCCTAGGAAAAGTAACTCTTCTAGGCAAGTCAGTTTGCAAAAATACTGCTGTGTCCTGGGCTAAGTAACCTGCTCCTGGTTCTGAGTCACATCCTTTCCATTGGACTTCTCGATCACTTCAGATGAAAGTTTCCTTTTTAAGCGATTTCTGAGGATTGGACAGTTCAGAATTCTGTGCCTCCCAGGTGCCTTTTGGCTCCTCCCTGAGATGGGGTGTGGAGGAAACGCCAGCCCGAGCTTTGAACTGCCCCCGTGTTTGCTTGGTGTCACAGCCTTAAAATTAGCAGCATGTTTGTCCTTGCAATATTGTGCTGTTGCAGCGTGGAGGCCGTTCCCGTGGTTCTGATTTCAGTTTGGATGCTGGTGTAAAGGAGGCTTCCTCTTTTTTTTTCCTTCCCACCTGGAATGTGGATTCCTGAGGATCCCTCCGTGCTGAGCACGCCTGCCCTGTGTGTGTGTTGTGAAAGCTCCCCCAGTTTTGACCTGTGCTGTCTGTGGATTGTAGCTGTGGCCTGTCCCACCAATTGACATCACTCATCGCAGAAGAATTGGTATCCCTAGAGGCGCTTTGCTCCCCCAGGTCCTCGCATTCCTACCCAGTTAGGAGTCACTTCTAAATCATTAGCAGGCAGTTTTTGTCTTGCTGAGTAATAGTCAGATGATCCTGCATTACATGGAGCTTGGTGTTCGTCATTTGCATTTATGATGAAAGCTGAAACTTAAACTAGGAAAGGGTTAAAAGTCCACGTTTTGTTCCTCTCCTCACTCTGCGGATTGGGAGCTGCGGCTCCCCGGTGCTCCCCTGTGTGTTGTGCCCCCGGTGCAAGGGAATTTGGAGATTTTGTTGTCTTCCCCAGCAGTTCTCACATCTACAAGGAAACAAATCTCGTTGCCAGGTTCACACACACGTGCTGTAGGTAAAGCCAAGCCTCTCCCCTGCTCTCCTGCTCTGAGACCAGACCCGACATCTCCGAAACCACCCCGCGACTTCATCGACTTCATCGCTCCCCCTCAGCTCGTTCCTCCTCCTTGTGCGAGCTCTGGTTCATAACATTTGTGCCATGTTTATAAATCAGTTTTTTATATTTTTGTACTGAGAGCAATTGGAGCACTTTAGGAAAAAAGTTTTATTTCAAATTCCATTTCTTTTTTTTTTTTTTTGTGCCCGGAAGGAAAATAAACCTCTGGTGGACGTAGATCCTGTTGGCATTAACTGCGTGCATCTCACTCGGAGCTGTGAACTCTTCTTGATGCTCTTTTAGTCTTAGGTCTGGTTTCTAGGCCCACCTTGCACTGTAAAGATTTAATAAATAATCATGGTCCATGGTTAAATTGACCATTTTGTTGGGGAAGAGTTTGGTTTTGTTTTTTTGTTTTTTTTTTTGTTAGGGTGTAAACATTGTAAATATTTCCTTTACTGTTGATACTGCAGTAGCAACATCTTTGTAGTCTTTATTTTATTTGTAAAGTCGATGGTTAAATGTTAATATTCTGTTGAATTGTGCACTCTTGATTAATTGTAAACTTGATCTTAGCACACCAAATGATGATTTTTACAATGATTGCAATGTTTCTCCACTGAAGGATTTCAGAGCTGCAATAGGACTGAAACCAACTTCTAGCAATAAAAAAAAAAAGAACATTTAAAAACTGCCTGCCTTTATATAATTATTTATTATTTTCTATTTGAACTGAAGATCAAAGCGGCTGCCACTTCTGCCCTGGACAGAAATAATGTGCCATATGAGCAAAACTGATGATTTTCCAAAGGAGAGGACGGAGCACAGGAGGTGTTTGGGAACAATAACTGCAGCCCTTGGCAGAGAGGTGAACACCTGAGGGGAAGATCAGCTGCTCCTCAACTCCCTGGTGAGAGAGTGAACTCAGTGGAGCTGCTTGCATGAAGTGTGGAGGTGCTTTGCATGCTGCCAGCCTGAGACATGCCTGGCTCTGTCCCAGGCAGTATCAGTTCCCCCTTGGAACAAGTATAACAAAAATAGAAACTTTCTCCCTGCTGCCTGTGCCAATTTGGCAGCTCTCCCTCCCAGCACCATCCCACAGCCTCTGGCAGGGGCTGAGCTTCCTGGTGAAATCCCCACTCGTGGCACACTGGCAGGGCAGCCCGAGAGCTGCAGCCTGGAATCACTGCTAGGGGTGAGAACAGATTGCAGGACTGGGGAGAGAGTGGGAGAACTGGGATGTGGATTGGTGCTCTAGAGGAAGAGGGGAGGATTTTAGCACCGAGATCCTGCAGTGCAGCCAGTGCTGAGGAGAACCCTGAGCCAGGGTTGGTGCTGCCCCATCCCTGCCCTTGGGGTTTGTCAGAGCAGCTCTGGGGGGACCTGGGCTCTCTGTGTGCAGGACCAGCCAGCATTTGTCAGTCTGTGGAGTCCATGTGACAACTGGGCTGCAGCACAAACTGGAACTCAAGTGGAAAAACCGTCAGTTTTTCTACTTTTCCAGCATATGTAAATAATCAAACACTTCTAGGCAGACCAGTGTTTCAAATCTGGTCTTTATGGGAACTAACAGGCTGATGTGTGAGACAGTGACGTCTTTAACAGTCTGTGTGTCTCTGTGTGTGTGTGTGTGTGTGTAAGAAGCTTTTGCTTGTGCTTCCCTCAGGAGAATATTCCTTCCATCTGCCCCGTTGAGCTGCCAGGAGCTGAGCTGTGGTGCAGTCACTGCCTCTGCTTCCAGACTGTGTCACCAGAGCAAGGCCAGTGACTCCATGTCCATCTCTAAATACTTTCCAGCAGCAAGAAATGGAATCAAAAGTGATTTTGTGGGGAGCAGCAGAGAAGTTACAAGGATCTGCACTGTGTTCTCCTGCAAACTCTTATGTCAGACCTGTAGGAATTGTTTCTGGAAAGAACAGAGGAGCCTGGATCAGAGAGATGCAGAGTTCAGGGAGATCCAGGGTTAACACAGCCCCGAGGGTTCCCTGGAGCACAGATTCCCACTGGGACCTGCCCAGCTGCAGCAGCCCAGAGCTCAGCAGAGGCAAGCTTAAAACCTGGGTAGCATTTGCATCTGTTAGAAGGTCGGTGCTGCTGCAGCCACGGGTGCTCAGAGGTGTGTGGGTGTTGCTGTGCTCAGTTTTTGGGGCAGGCATTCCTTGGGGATTGCAAACACCTTGCCTGGCAGTGGCACTGACAAGGCTGTCGCTGCTCTGTGAGCTCAGGGGAGGGTGTGAGCTCAGGATGGGTGGCTGGTGATGCCTTCAGAGCTGTGCTCATACCAATGTTGCAGCAGCTCCGCCCTGCCTTGTCTCTCCCTGAAATCTGCAGCTAATTAACCCGAAACCCAAACCACATTCTTTCTGTGGATGAATCATTCCGGGGCCATCGGCAATGACCAGCTTTATGCTAAACCTCCCTCTTTCATGTGGGTGAGACGAGGCTGATGGTTCCCATACTGCATCTGAGACTCATCAGCAAACCAGATGCTTGAGGACAAACAGGAACAGAGGGAATTGGCTCCCAGTGTGCTCTGACAGTGGGAATGTGCTGTTCGCTGCCTTTCCCTTTCCTCACCCCTGTGATTCAAATCCGGTTTAATTTCTCATCCCAGTGCTGGGGCAAGCCCAAGGCTCAGCAGATGAGGGATGTGGGGCCTGTCCTACGCTGTTTGCTGCTCCTGGGCCCATGGGATCTGGCAGAGGATAAAAGCCAAAGCCTCTCAGAGCTGGTGGTGCTGGAGCGTGCGACACACGGTCCCTGGCTCTGGGACTGTCACGTGCACTGGAGGCTCAGACAGGGCAGGGATCAGTTTGTTGTGGGGCTCCTTGACTTTGGACAAAGGCCTGCAGTGACAGGACAAGGGGGAATGGCTTCCCACTGACAGAGAGCAGGGTTAGGTTGGATATGGGAAAGAAATTCTTCCCTGGGAGGGTGGGCAGGCCCTGGCACAGGTTGGGCAGAGCAGCTGTGGCTGCCCCTGGATCCCTGGAAGTGTCCAAGGCCAGGTTGGACGGGGTCTTGGAGCAACCTGGGCTAGTGGAAGGCTCCCTGCCCATGGCAGGGGGTGGGACTGGATGGCCTTTAGGGTCCTTCCCAACCCAAAGCATTCCATGATTCCATGTGCAGAGGAGCAGATGTGCCTCTCCCACGTCAGAGCAGCAGCTGATGTCATTTCACTGTGTGGGGCACAGTGTGTTGCTAGACCTGAAGCCATCCCAGATGACTGCACGTGATAGGCAGATTTGCCAGGGAATTTCAGACTGTTAAATATGCAGTGTCTATTTTCCCTCCTAGAACACTGGACAAAAACCACACTGTGTGTAGTTAGAGCTTAGTTTTGCTGGGCTGCCATGGATTATCACTGTACCAGTTCCTTGCTAGATGTGTGGTGGGTGTGCTGCAGAACACTGGAATGATCCATGTCCCATCTTAGCCAGAAAGGGGAATTTTTCAGTCACTGCTGAGCTGGGAAGGGAGAAAAGCCGTGTGCTACCTCAGTGCTCTGGCAGCAGGAGCTGCTGAGCAGAATACCCCTTAAAATCAACCCTGACTGTCCTGCCTTGTGGCCACGAGGGAGGTGGGCCAGTCTGATCCCCTGTTTCTCTGGCTCTTGTGGCTTGCAGGCTTTGTGTGAGAACAGAACCATCCCTTGGATGGTGTTGGCTTTGAGCCCAGTGAAGCCCTCGTGTGTTGCCTCCTGCAGATGTGACTGTGGGCTGGGGTTTAGCTCCTGCAGCCACAAACGGGGCAGCTGGGCTAGGAGGAGAGGCCCAGGAGTTTGAGCTACTTTGATATTCTAAATTCTATTAACTCAGGAGGATTTCTGCCCCAGCAACCAAATTCACCTCCAGCTCAGTTGGCCTGAATCCTCTGGCCCCGGCACCGAGTGGATCAATGCATGGAAATGTCAAACTGGGAGAACAGGTCTGTCGGGATGACTCTGCTCCAGCAGACCCAAGCAGCAGCAGCAGCAGCAAAGCTGTCTGGTTTTCCCCAGGGTGCTGGGAGCTGGTTCCTGCCAGCGGGAGGTGGAGCTGCAGGGACAGCACGGGGCTGTCTGCCAGGTGAGGGAGGATGAGCTTTAGGGAGCCACGAGCCCAGGTGTGCTTGGAGTGCTGCTTTTTTTTCCCTGAGAGGCAGCTGGATTGAAAGGGGGAAAGAATGCCCAGCCCTTGCAAAACCTTCAGGAGCAGTGGGGGCTGATGTTTCCCCCGGCTGAGACTCCCCAGGGCCGGCTCAGATGTCGCTCAGCGCCAGGCGCGGGGGGCAGACGGAGCCGAGGGGCTGGAGCTGCCCCGTCCCCGGAGCAGGACGTGGCTGGGAGCCAACCCTGATTGCTTGGCAGCATCAACAAAACAGCTGCTGCTGCTCAAACGGCCGTGAATGAGAGCTCTGCTCCTCCCGCTCGCCGAGCAAAGTCACACACGCCCCGTCCAGCCCTCGGGAGGAACCGGGGATGGAACAAAGGTGAAGCTGCTCCCGGCTGGGAGCAGGGCTGGAGAGGCTTCCTGGTGGTGTCCTGTGAAGTGACTTTCCCTTGCCTGCATGTGTGTGTGTGTGTGTGAGACACAGCCGAGCTGGGAGCTGCTGGATGGTTGGACTCCATGATCTTTTAACACCTTTTTCCCACCGGAACGGGTCTTTTTCCCCTGTGTGCTCCTGGCTGGGCGTGGGCTCCTCTCCCTGCAGCCGGTGATGGGGAGGTGGCACAGCAAGGGCACAGGGAAAAAAGGTCCAGCCTGGGAGCTGAAAACGGCAAAGGCACCAGAAGGCAGGGTGGAAATGAAGTCTGTGTATCTGCTCCAGTCCCCAGCAGCAGGGCAGCTCATTTCCAGTCGTGCCAGCTCTTGCCTGTACGAGCAGCTCGGAAGGGTTTGTGACACTGATTTATTTAACTCTGAAATAATGGATCTCACCCAAACCCTGCTTCTGTGGTGAGACAGTTGGTTGTACCTTTGGTGCCTGTTTCCTCTGACTGTGCTGTCTCACCTCCCACCCCTGACAGAGCTTTTCTGTTCCCCCCTCCTGGAGCAGGGCCTGGAGTTCCCAGCCCTTGGGGACAGAAAGGGCAACGCTTTCCCCCAGTCCTTTGGAAACCCAGCTCCGTGGAGGAATGACCAGGTAAGGGCAGAGAACAGCTTCACCTGTGGAGTTTTAAACAGATTTGTGTGTTCTCCAAAGCTAGAAGGCAGTGTGAGAGCTGGGCTTCCCTCAGTCCCATGTTCCAAAGTTCAGGAAGATCTGAGCCCTCGATTTGGACTCAAGCAGGGAATACTCCTGACTACACAGTGAGGGCTGGGAAAACCTGCAGCTTAATCATACAGAGCAGGCAATGAACACAGTGGATTTTATTCAGATTTATTTAAGCAGCTCCAGGCTGAGTAATAAACACAAAACTGCTGTATTAAAAAAAAAAAAATAAATGTAAAGAACCAGCCTGTGGGCAAAGTACTGTCACGTGTTCAGACATTCCAGCCTCTGGTGCTGCCTGTGCTGAGAGTCCCAGCAGCACAGTCAGGAGTGTCCTTTGTCCTTTCTAGTAAATATCACTAAAAACCCAAAATACCCCTCTGATTCCTGCTCTGAGATCACACAAGTTAGTGGAAAACCTGGACACCTTTTGCTGTCTCCAGGGACAGCACAAGCCTCCAGCCCAAGGAGGTCACTCTACGCTTGTCCCCTCCCTGGGCTGACCAAGGGGATGGATCTGCAGGAGCACTTCAAAGCCAGAGCTGTGTTGCCTTGAGCCCTGCTGCTGCTGGTGCTCCACGTCCAGGAAATCTTCTGCAGGTACCACAGGATACTTTATTGCATTAATAAGTTCATTTGAGCAGCACAACTCTTGCAAGGAGAAAATAAAAACGCCGCAGGGTCTGTGATTCACTGGCATAATTCCTGCCAAAAAGCCTTTAGAAAGGTTTAATTCCAGTTGCAAATGCTGGAAGTCAATCTCTGTGTAGCAGGAAAGCAATGGCATGAAAGGGACACCAGGGAATAATTAGAAGCAGAGAAACCCTGTGTTTATACATAGACAGGGCTTGTCTTATAAACGCAATTACCCACCACTCTGGGACTAAATCCCAGCTATGATCTTGTCCTGGCACCGGCTCCCAGCCCTGGCGTCCCACAAGACATCTGGGTGCCACTGGCAGATTAACCGTGGCACCAGGAGGAGGAGGCTGCGCTAAAAGCAGCCCCGTGGCACCGCACGGTCTGTCCCAGCTCCTGCAGACACCCAGCCTGGGAAAAACATCCACTCCAGCAGCCCTTCCGACCCAGGGACGACACCCAATCCTCACACAGAGCATTCCCCAAAATCTTTGCATAGGCCAAGACTCGGTGGCAGGGCCGAGATGCCAGGTTAAGAGTCCCGTTATTTATACCCATCTTCTCCCCGCAGCGTTCTGGCACCTTAAAGAGACTTCCTCTCCCCTTGCAGGGTTTTAGATCCCAAACTGCCAGCCTGGAAATAGGTTTTCTGGAGCTGATGCTCGCACGAGGACAACCGCAGTCCAGATCCACGGGCATCTGCCCCTCGAGGTTTAACCTTTGTGCAGCACAAAGTTACACAGAGGAGCCCTGGCTCGACCCACAGCTATTTCACCTCCCCTCAGGCAGACAGGTACTTCCAGGTGCTGACGAAGGCGGTGGGGATGAGGGAATAGGGCACGGTGGTGACGCTGCTCCAGGTGTCGGACGAGGGGTCGTAGCAGTCCAGGGTCTTGCAGCGCTGGGCCCCGCAGTAGCCGCCCACCACGTACAGCCTGTTCCCCGAGGTGACGGCGCGGCAGCTGATGCGCTTGGCGGTGACGTCCCCGAACTTGGCCCACTGGTAGGTGTCACTGTGGAAGCGGTAGGCGGAGCTGGCCGAGAACTCGGTGTCGCCGCCGATGACCATGACGTGGCTGCCCACCACGGCGGCCGCCGTGTAGCGCCAGGGCTGGGGGCAGCTGGTGGGCACCGTCCAGCGGTTCTGGCGCGGGTCGAAGCACTGCACCTTGGGCAGCTTGTTCTGGTTGGCGCTGGTGCCCCCGAAAACGAACAGCTTCATCTTGGCCCCCACCACGGCGGCGTTGCTGACGCCCTCCCGCAGAGGGGCCACCAGGGACCACTTGTCCAGCTGAGGGTCGTAGTGCTCCACCTGCTTGAGGGAGACGGAGGGGGAGGCCGGGAAGGCTCCGCTCATGGCCGTGTGACCCCCCACCACGTACAGGCAGTGGTCCAGCTCGGCGGAGCCGTGGCCAAACCGCGCCACCAGCATGGGAGCGGCCTTTGCCCACTCGTCGTGGAGAGTGTCGTAGACCCAGACGTCCCTGGAAGCGCCGTTCTCGGAGCCCTTGCCCCCGGTGATGTAAACCTTGCAGCCGATGGCGCAGGCGCTGCACTCCTTGCGGGGGCTGGGGATGTCAGCGCGGGGGATGATCTCGCTGGTCTTGTGGTCCAGCATGTAAATCTTGTCGCACATGAAGGTCTGGCCCCCCAGCAGCAGCAGGGCCTGGCTGACCTTGCGAGGCCGGGCGCAGCACCCCGTCACCAGCCCGTCGTTCTGCAGGATCTTCATCTTGCACCGCACGGCGTCGGCCACGATCTCCTCCCCCAGCTTGTGGCTGGTCACCAGCTTCTCACAGGCCACCTGTTTGCGCAGGTAGGACTCGGGCAGCAGGGCCAGGCGGACGGAGCGCAGCAGCTCCGGCAGAACCTCGTGGCGCCGGGGCAGATCGTACCGGATCCAGCCCATGACGGCCTCGTAGACCAGCGTCTCGTCCTCCACCTCCAGCTCCTCGCTCTCCACCAGCTCCAGCAGCTTGTCCTTGGGCAGCCGCAGGAAATCCTCGGTCTTGCAGAGCGAGGTGAAGTTGGCCAGCGCCATCCTCCAGGACAGCTCCAGCAGCCGCTCGCAGCAGTGGGCGTCGGACAGCAGCAGCATGTTCAGGCAGTTCCCAGGGTAGAGGTTCTTCTCCAGGAAGTCGGCCGAGGCGTCCCGAATATCCTGGAACTGCAGCATGTCCCCGGCCTCCAGCAGGGACTCGGCGTTCTCCTCGTTGATCAGCACCCGGGCCGAGTAGGCGTAGTCCAGCAGCAGCTCCAGCACCTCGGGGTGCAGCGAGTCGTGGAAGTTCACCTCGGCATCTCTGCTCTCCTTGAGGCCCCCGCTGAACATGGCGTTGAAGTAGCGGCTGCAGGCGGCCAGGACGGCGCGGTGGCAGGGGAAGCTGCGGTTCCCCGCCCGCAGCACCACGTCGGTGAAGAGGTTCTGCTGGCGGAGCAGGTTGAGCTGGGTGAGGAGGCTGTCGGCGTGGCCCGGTTTGTGGAAGAGGTGGATGTTCATGGAGCCGGAGCTCGAGCGGGATTTCCGGTTCTCGTGGCTGCTCACGGACATAGTGCCGAGGCCGCTCTGCGAAGGGAAAAGCGGCGAGTCAGCACGGGCCGCCCGGCACCGGCGGGCGAGCGGCGCCCGAGAGGAGCCGGCGGCGGGAGGGCGGCACCGCCCGGGACGGGGAGCTCGGAGGGACCGTCCCGCAGCTGCGGGGCTCGCCCAGCGCTGACCGAAACGGGGCACCGGGCGCTCCGGGGCAGCTCAGGGCTCCGCCGGGCCCCGCGCAGTACGGGGAGAGAGGGCGATGTGCGCTCCCGGGGCTGCCGCGCCCAGCCCGCCCCGCGGGCCCGCACCAGCTCCGCACCTGGCTCACAGGTCCCGCAGCTGCCTCAGGTCCTGCGCCCGGCTCAGAGGTCCCGCGGTCCAGGCCCCGCGGTCCCGCACCCGCGGTCCGCACCCGGCTCAGGGCTCCCGCACCCAGCGGTCCCGCACCCGGCTCTGCGGTCCCGCGCCTGGCTCAGAGGTCCCGCATCCGGCCCCGCGATTCCGCACCTGGCTCAGAGGTCCCGCGCTCTGCTCAGAGGTCCCAGTCCCGGCCCCGCACCTGGCTCAGAGGTCCCGGTCCCGGTCCCGGTCCCCGTTCCCGTCCCGTTCCCGTCCCCGCCCGTTCTGCCGCCACCGCCGCGTGGCCGCCCCGTGCTGGCCCCGCCCCCTCCCGCGCAGCAGCCAATCAGCGTCCGCGGGGCCCTGAGCTCGCTCTTTGTGAATGGAAGGCGGGACCGGGAGCGCGCATGCGCAGCCCTCCCTGCCCATTGATCGCCGTTCATTGATCCCCCCATTGATCACTCCCATTCACCGCCCGCACGTGTCCGTGTCCCCCCATTGATCCCCCCCATTGATCACTCCCATTCATCCCCCGCACGTGTCCGTGTCCCCCATTGATCCCCCCATTGATCACTCCCATTCACCGCCCGCACGTGTCCGTGTCCCCCCATTGATCCCCCCCACTGATCACTCCCCATTCATCCCCCGCACGTGTCCGTGTCCCCCATTGATCCCCCCACTGATCACTCCCCATTCATCCCCCGCACGTGTCCGTGTCCCCCATTGATCCCCCCATCGATCACTCCCCATTCATCCCCCGCACGTGTCCGTGTCCCCCATTGATCCCCCCATCGATCACTCCCATTCATCCCCCGCACGTGTCCGTGTACCCCACTGATCCCCACATCGATCACTCCCCATTCATCCCCCGCACGTGTCCGTGTTCTCCCATTGATCCCCCCCATCGATCACTCCCATTCACCGCCCGCACGTGTCCCTGTCCCCCCATTGATCCCCCCCATCGATCACTCCCATTCACCGCCCGCACGTGTCCGTGTCCCCCATTGATCCCCCTCATCGATCACTCCTATTCACCGCCCGCACGTGTCCGTGTACCCCCATTGATCCCCCCATCGATCACTCCCCATTCATCCCCCGCACGTGTCCCTGTCCCCCCACTGATCCCCCCCGTCTGTCACTCCCACTCCGTGTCCCCCCGCTCCGAGCAGCGGTCCCCGCGCCCCAGCAGCTCCCCAGGGGCCGGGCCGGCGGATTTGGGGCTCCCGAGCCCGGCCGAGCTGCGCGGACGGAGCCACCCCCACCATAAAGTGCCATAAACCAGGGGCAGCCGGGCTGGGATCAGCAGCGCCCGCCCGCGGCCTTTGGATCCCGCCCTGCTGACAAAGGCACAAACCAGCCCCGCTCAGCAACTTTCCCTGCACGGAGCCCACCTTTGAAATCTGGAGCTTGGAAAACGTCCGGCGATTGCTCCCGCAAAGGAGGCGCTGCTGGTGTTTACCTGCCCCGGGGCAGCCCATCAGCTGCACCACCAGCACCTTTCCTTGCTGCCCACACAAGGCAGCAGCAGCCACCACAAGGGCTTAATCAGGGATCAAAGCCACCCCAAGGAAAAAATACAAATTGCAGAAATCCTGAATCACCCCATTTCGCTTTATCTCTGCACGTTTCAGCTCCACCAGCTGTAACTTAAAATCATTTCATGAGGAATTGGATGAAGCAAATGCACTTAGAGCAGTTTATGATATAGAAAGTGTCCTTTCTATGTGTTAAAATTAAAGCAAGGTGTAGAGTTTTACAAATTTGTCATCAAAAAAGAGTTTACCTCCAGGTAAGCTCTGCCTACACTCAGAATTGTACCAAAACCTGTAAATCCAGCACGAAATTCCCAGCACAGCCAGGAAAGGGACGCTCTGCAGGGTGAAGGTCCAGATAAACAGCAAGGCCAGGGCAAAGGATAAAGAGCATCCAGCCCTGGCTCTGCTCTTTGAACACAGGCAGGACACAGCTCCCCCTGTCCACGCCAAAAACGACAACAAAAACAAGGTCAAGGCCCCTGGAATGGTGCAGGGACACCAAGCAGACTAAGCAGAACTGATTCCAAAGGGTGCATTTCCACGGCAGCCAGTCAGGGGCTCGGATTTATTTCGGTGGGAGGAAGGCTGGTAACACACTGGGGAGCTGCAGCTCGTGTTTTCTGACCCCTGGGAACTGCCTGGAGCTTTCCAGAACCAGCTCAAGAGCTTTTTCCCTGCTCTCAGAGGGAATGATCACTCAAGGCCACCTTTGATTCGTGTCGTTTATTATCGGCAACGCCCAGAACTGTTAACTGCAAAGCCCATCTCGGCATCGGTTTGATTGCTCCTTTGAAAGGTGATTCATAAATTTCCTGTCTTTTTTTTTTTTTTTAATAAATAAATAAAAAGACTGTTGGCAGCTGCCGGAGCCTGGTGGAAGAGCTCCACCCGGTGGCATCCCACGAAGGCACAGCTGGAGCCTCAGAGCTCCTGGAAATCTCAACTTCCTCGATTTTTCCTTGAATGAGCAAGGCAGACTAGAAGGAAGCTTCGCTCTGCTTCCAGTTGCTGTTTCCTTCCCCTCTTGCCTCTGCCACAAACAAAACTTTTCACTCCTCTTTTTGCTCTGTGCTCAAACCCCAGAATATCTGACAGAGACACTCCCAGGACTGTGCCCCTGTCCTGGAGGATGACCCAGCAGGATTTGTCCCTTAGGAGTTTTGTGGGACAGAACCAGGGCAGTTTTTCCACCTAACACTGACTTTGTGCTCTTTTCTCCCAGAAAACACTGGAAGGTTGCATTTATCTTTTGGGACAGAGGAAGGAAGGATGGAAGGCACTTTTTTTCCCCTCCCCCCTCAGTTTTACCAACCGTAGGTTGATTTTCAGAGGATTCTCCTGAAAGGTTTCTCTGATGGAGAGAGGCAAAAACTGTCAACTGCAAACAGTCCTCTCTGCAACAGACACCTTGATTCCAGTCCCAATTACAACCCACACAGAGGATGTGTGGAATTACAATCAGTAACACCCAGGAAAATTAAAATACACCCTGCCCCACCAAAGGCACTTTTACCACGTGGAATTTGGCCCCCGGAGCTCGATTATTTACACAGCTTCAGAATTTCCTCCTCTGGATGCCTGGTAGATTCCAATCAGGGAGGAGATGGTCCCCAGGAGCCCCACTAACCACGGGGGGAACCTTCCAGCCCAGAGGAATCCTGGAGGCAGCCAGTGGATGGCGTTGGAAAGATCTGCTGCGTCCGTGAGGATGCTCAGAACCTCCGCCTTCACCTGGGCTCTCAACTTCTGGCTCTGGGGTGAGGATGTGCTGCTGGGAGCAAAGGGGATATCAGTGACAGTCCACAATATCCCAATTACTGTGATGGATACAAGTGAGAACTGGTATATGGGGTTAAATTATAACGAGAACGGGTTAAAATGGTGCTAAAGAGACCTGGAGGGGGACTTTGGACAAGGGATGGAGGGACAGGACACAGGGAATGGCTTCCCACTGCCAGAGGGCAGGGTGAGATGGGATATTGGGAAGAAATCCTTCCCTGTGAGGGTGGAGAGGCCCTGGCACAGGTTGCCCAGAGCAGCTGTGGCTGCCCCTGGATCCCTGGAAGTGTCCAAGGTCAGGTTGGATGGGGCTTGGAGCCACCTGGGATGGTGGAAGGTGTCCCTGCCCATGGCAGGGTGTGGCACTGGATGGGCTTTAAGGTCACTCCCAACCCCATTCTGGGATTCCATAATCAACTGTACAGCCAAGGAATGAAATCATACCCCTTGTGCTGCCTCAGTTTTCTCCTCAACTGGCACAAGACCCTCAGGGACCTGAAAACAGCAGAGTTATTTCTCCTACAGCAGCAAACAGGAGGGTTTTTGGTTTTTTTCCTCTTCCACGAGCCAAGAACACCTCCCGCAGCCAGAGGGCCCTTTGGTTTTATCCCGACGGATCATTCCCCTTCCCTTCCCTCCCCTCCCCTCCCCTTCCCAGCGGGCCGTACCGCAGGATTCCCAGGAGCAGGGCAGAGCCCCAGAGCGCCGTGCTCAGGGTCCACCACCTGTGGGAGCTGGCGCGGACGATCCCAACATCGGCTGCCCAGGCCAGGTGCTCGCAGGGGTAGTAGAGCTGGTTGGCCACGTTGCAGAGCACGCTGAGCCCCCGCACCAGCACATCCTCGTCCTGCGAGAGGGGGGGAAAGGGGACAGGCCAGAAGAGCCGCGGGGCGGCCGGGGGGGCTGTGGGGGAGCCCCCTGCCCCGCTCTCACCTCGGGGCCCAGCCCGTAGCCGCAGCTGTGCCGGAGCATGGCCAGGTCGTCAAAGAGGCGCAGGACGGTGCGGCAGGAGCTGAGCTGGGCAGAGGCGGCCAGGAGGCCCCTCGGCAGCCCCCCCGGGCCGGGCAGGGCTCCCCCCGCCAGCTGGAGGCCGTAGGACAGGGCACGGACCTGCGGGGACACGGCCCGGTCAGCGGGGGGACCGCTGGGTGTGGAGCCCAGAGGAGCTGATGCTGGAACCGGGACTTTTCTCTCTTTAATTCTCCTTTTTCCTCTCTTTTTTCCTTTCTTTAATTCTCTAATTTTCTCTCTTTTCTCCCCTCTCAATCTTTCTTTCTTTCTTCCTTTAATTCCCTTTTCTCCTCTCTTTCTTTAATTATTTTCTCCCTTTTCTCCTCTTTAATCCTCTCTTTTCTCTTTCTTTAATTCTCTCCTTTTTTTTTTTTTTAATTTTCTCTCTTTTCCTCTTTCCCTTCCTTTCTCCCTTTCTTTCCTCAATTCCCCTTCTCCCTCCCGAATTCCTCCCGTCCCTTTCCCTCCACCTCTTTCCCCACCCCCCCCCCTTCCCCCCAGGGCACCGATACACCGATTCGCACGCCAACTTCTCTCGGACTGTTTGCGGACCCTCGGGATTTTTATGATTCCTTTCCACCATCGAGCCTTTAAACGCGCTTTAAGTTCTTCACTTTAAGTTCTTCACTTTCCCTTAAGGGCGGGCGATCGCACGGCCGGGCCCGTCACTCCTGGCCCCGTCCCCGTGGGTCAGACCCCCCTCGGTCACTCACGGCCCGGTCCCCGTGGGTCACACTCCCCATCCCTCACTCCCGGCCCCTTCCCCGTGGGTCACACCCCCCTCGGTCACTCACGGCCCGGTCCCGTCCCCGGTGTGTCTCCAGCGATGCCCCCAGGCCGCGGAGCGCGGCGGCCGCCATGGCAACGCTTCCGGGTTCTGACGTCACGGCCGCCCCGGGTGCACGCCGGGAAGGAGGCGGTGCAGCCGTCGCCATGGCAACCTGGCCTGGCCTGGCCTGGCCGGGCCTACCTGAGTCCCACTGCCCCCGGGGCCTCCCCCTCAGGGCCTGCGCCATCTCCTTCCCCACTGTGGTCCGCGAAACCCCCGTGAGCCCTTCGCTGACCCCCAGTTCCCCCGTTCCGCGCTGTTCCAGCTTGCCCAAGTAGCGCGTGGAGCCTCTCCCTTAACTCAAGATGTTCCCGACCCCTCTGGACACATCCCGTGCTCTGGAGTGGCCCTGCCTTAGCAGGGAGGTGGGGCCAGGTGAAGCGCTGTGGTCCCTTCCATTCTGTGTCTCTGTCGTTTCCTTAGATATTTCAGGAACAAACACTAAAGAGAACATCAGTGGTACCCATAACACTTCTCCACGGACCCTCCTTGCATCTTTGTGTGTGGATCTAAGAATCACAAGGAGTGTTTTTAGGAATAACCCCTTTCCTCCCCCCGCCCGGCTGTTGGCAGGGTGTGTTCCCACTGTTAAAGGGGTGGACAGTGCTGTTCCCACCCTCCTCACCAAGCACAGGCTGAGGGTGGATGGAGTCCACCTGCAAAGCCAAGAGAACAGGTAACAGGATTTTAGGGAGCACCAGGACACAGTTAAAGGGCAGCGTGTTCCCGTGTGGAATTCTGTCCTGAAACGGGTGCGATCTGCGCAAGTGAAAACTAAGAGGGTGGAAAAACAGAGGGGAAATAAAGTGATTGTGCTTTAAGCGGCTGCTCTGTAGCTTTGTTGGCTTCCCTCCAGCATGTCCTGTGTTAAATTTAGGGAGATCAGAAGCAGAAACAGTGCCCTGGATGAGAGGACACACCGGTGTCAGCAGGAGAACCTGCTCCCAGGAACTGCCCTTTCTGATGAGCAATGGGATTTATCAAACAAAGCTCATGTTTGATATCTTGGAGAGTCTGTGACAAGGAATGTGCTGCCTCCCAGAGCCACCAGAGGAACAGCTCTAGGCAGGCAGTGGCTGCACCAGATTATCCACCTCAAAATCAAGAGTTCTTCCCACTGGAAGGGTAAAGCTGTGGCACAGAGGCCACAGGTACAGGCTGGCACTTCCACCCCCACAAATGACACCTCAACAGCCACTTCTTTGCCACCAGGCAGCACCACCTGGCGTGTTCAGGTGACGTGAGTGATTTCTGGGACGTGAACCGGTGGCTTGATTTTTCTGCCTTGCCACATTTGTTCTTAGAAGTTATTTTGTGTTTATTTTTGGGAGGAAGGAGAGGATTTTGATCAAAAGCTGCACTTATGCAACCTCAGGAAGGGATGTGGTTAGAGCTGGTCATGGAAGGCATTAAGAAAATCCTCCTCTGACGTTGCCTCCTGTTTCTCATGGCCAGTAAGAGAGAGGTCCCTTCATGCCGTGGACCTTTTAAGCCATTTGATTTACAAAATGTGGAGCAGATCACAGTTGAATTGATCTTTTCCTTGGCCCCAGACTTCTGGAGCAGCTCCATAACTGCCATATGGAGTGATATTCCCGTAAATACCATGAGAGTTTCTTCATTTGCCTCCTCACCCTGAGAGTTGTTTTCTGTCTGGGCGAAGGTTTTGAGCAAACTGCTGACGGCAGAGCCAGCCTTTTCGTCTCCTCACACATGGATCTGTGCCTGCAAAGCTTTTCTGCCTCGAATTTGATTTTTATTTCAGTTCCCCCTGTCAGCAGATGAAAGGTCTGTCACAACAGACTGCCTGCTCCAGCCTCAGGTGAATGTCCTGTGGGAGCAGAGTCGTAGGTAAGGAATGTCTTGAAGGGAAAGGAAGGACAGGCAACCAAACCCTTAAGCCAAGGAATGTTGGAGGGAAGTAGAAGGGGGTTGTACTCTCCCACAGAGGGGCAGAGGAGGAAAATTGGCCTGGCTGGAGGTGTCCACCCACGGCAAACATCTCTGAACCACGGAGCATCTGAGACAGAGGGTGCTGCAGCTGCCCAGCTGAGGTGACCCTTCATGTAGCACCACGGGGCTTAGATGTTGGGGCTGCCAGGTTCTGTGGGGCCACCTGCCCCTTTCTCAGCCCCATCCCAATGTGCTGAGAGCTGTTTTCTCTCCTCAGATGAAAAGCTCCCACCTGGGGCTACCCAGAAGGGCACCCCACTGAGCAGAGGGGTGAGTTCACACCCAAGTCCAGAGGCCCGGCTGAAATCCGAAAGGCAAACTCCCAAGTGAGCTGTGTGTCCCCATGGTGACCCTGGAAAGGCCCTGTCCCCAGAGGAAGGTGATGTTCTCCCTTCTCCATCAACCAGGCCCTGTGAGCTGCCCACACGGCGTGGGATCTCTGAGCCTTCCCCGCGCTCCGCTCTTGGCCCCCTCTGTGTGTTGTCACAGGAACATCTATTTCTCAGATTGAATGGGGACACAAGGAGGTGTTGTGACAGCAAGAATAAACACCGGGAGATTAGCCCAAAGCCGTGGGTGACACATCCCTCTGGATTGCAGGACCCAGTGGGTGACACATCCCTCTGGATTGCAGGGCCCACGGAGGCCTCTGGGCAGGCACAGGGTGGGGGGAGCAGGTGGGCTGGGGGAAGCACAGAGGAAGGGCACAGAGACCAGAAACAGAGTGAGAAGCACTGTCAGGGCTGTGTGGGGGCTGGAATCTGTTTGGATTTTGGTGTCAAGGGCCTGGAACCAAAGGTCAGTGAACAGGAGGGCACCTGGGCAGCTCTGCCCGGCTTGTGATGAGCGTGGGCTGTTTTCCTAGGGGCGAGCTGGGTGTTTTTGTTGAGTTGGTCACTCACGTGGGTTTCCCAACTGCTGAGCTTGCACTAACTCTGCTTGGGGTCTAGGTGTGTTCCAGAGGGGTCAGTGGGGGCTGGTCAGCCCTTGGGGGAGCTGAGTGAGCAGGGCCAGCTGCTGCCTTGGCGCTTCACAAGCTTTTCTCAGATGGGTGTGATTCCCCCTGAGCCAGCCCTGAAGCCTTTGGGCTTCACTCCCAACTGCTGCAGTCTGTGTGTGAGCAGTGCCCTCGTGCTTTCCTCTGGGCATTTGACCCTTTGTCTCCCAGGAATGGGACAGTCTTTACTCCACTGTGCTTTCCTCTGGGAATCTGATTCCTTGTCTCTTATGAATGGGGGACTGGAGTCTTTGATCCTCATATACTTTAAAGAAGCCAAGCACTCACATCTTGCAAATGCACACAGGCACCTCCTCCTCAGTCCCTGCAAACACCTGGGTTCAAACACCTCAGGTGCCCCACTTGGTGGAGTAACAGGGACTTGCATCTGCTGCAGCTCTGCCCCATTGTTTTGGTGTGACCCTGAGGTGCCATTGCCACCTGCGCTGCTGCAGGAACAGCCACGGTTCCCTGGGGATAAATGCTGGAATCACCCCCTGGGTGAGCTGTTGCTGGGAATCACTGTGGTTATCCACTTTTTCATGTGGATTTTGACGTGGAAAGTAAACTTTAGACGTGGAAAGTAAAACTGGCTTTTTGGGGGGAGCATCTTTGCTTTCTGAACCCTTCTCCCACCGTTTCCAGCAGTGCCTTAGGAAGGCCAAACAGGCTTTCTCCGACTGCCCAGCCATGTGAAATCTCCCGGCGGGGCTGGCGCTGTGTGACACCCCTCCCTGCCGCCGACGGAGCCACCGGCACGTCCTGGTGTCACGTCGGCAGTGCCTGCGACTCAGAGATAAGGCTGAAGTTACGTTGCTCCACCATCCCTTTAAAAACACGTCCCTGGGCTCCGCAGCCCTGGCACCAGCCCCACGCACACGAGGTCAACCCTAAAGCATCACTGCCAAACAGGGTGCTCAGTCCAACCCCCCCGGGGAAGGCCCGCAGGGTGGGGCCACTTAGGATAAATCAGGAAATTTCGGTGTAGCCCTTTGCTCGCCCTCCTTTCCCTGGAAGGCTCCATCCCCCCGGAGCTGCCGGGAGAGCGGGGCCCGCGGCGATGCAGCTCCCGGGCCGCCTGCAGAGCTTGGTGGTGAAGCTGGAGGACGGCCCAGCCCACGGGAGCGGGGAGCTGCTGCACGGGCGGGTGCAGCTGGAGCTGCGGGGAGCGCTGCGGGTGCGGGCGCTGGAGGTGAGCGCCCACGGCGGTGCCACCGTGCACTGGGTGGAGAGCCACAGCATCGGGCTCAACGTCGTCTACAGGGACCACTCAGCCTGCCAGACCTTCCTGTGCCGCCGCTGCCAGCTCATCCCTGGTAAGGTTGGGGCACTGGGGAGGGCATGTTGGGAGCCTCCGCTTTGGGCTGCGGCGTCCGCTCCGGGCGTTGCCAACCCGCGCAGGGTTGTTTGTGCCTCTTGGACACCTCTCTTTGCACCTCGGGTGAAGGGTTTCTGTGCTGCTGGTTTCTGGGAGGCTGCTGGTGTAAACTCAGCTCAGAGGATTTGTGGCTTTTGCTCTGTTTGCACAGGGAAGTGCAAACACAAGTGTCCCTTCACAAGTGTGGAAAGAGCACTTAGTAGCTCGGTAGGTGTTTGTTTTCGCTTCCCCCTGGGCTGGGACCGCGTGCCCAGATGGCATGTTGCTTGGATTGACTGCAGGAGAACAAGCCACTCGAATTTCTTTGTGTGGTTGGGATGAAATGATCCAGAGCCGAGGGATATGGGACATCTCAGCTGTCTATCCGCTCATTAACTCTGGCTTTTCTTAAGAACACGCGTGTCTTTTATCCTTACCTCCAATAACAGTGTCACAGCCATGGCTCTGCAACTTCTACTCCCCCTTCTGATGGCCTTGTTGTTCGTTGCCTGTGGCCCAGTTGCTCGACCCTGGCTGTAGGACTTCTGCTGAGGGCATTTAATTGTGTCAGTGGTCAAGTGCAACCCAGAAAGTGGTGCCAGGCCCAATCTGGCAAATATGGAGGTTTCAGGAATAAACTGGAGGGATGGAAAGAGGCTGTGAGCTGCCTTCCTGGAGATGATCTTGTCTCTGGACTGCACTGAGGGGTCATATTCTTTACTTCTGGGTGATCATGCCCTGCCATCTGCTCCAAAAACTCTGGAGTTTGTGCCTTTTGGCAGCAGCTTTTCTGTGCTCTGCCTGAGGATGGCCCTCGGCAGCTGCAACTCTGCAAAGGGTCCTGATTACAGTTAAGGTCCCAGGAGAAGCCCTTGCCCTGGGATCCAGCAGCAAAGGCCCTGAGCACTTGGCCATGCAGTGCTTGGCCAGTGTCCCCTTTAGCTGTGAGGTGACAAGGGTGAGTTTTATTCCCCATGATCAGTGAATGCCTGTAGGGAAGCCACAAGCTGCTGGGAGCATGTTTGGACTCTGCTGCTGGGATTGTGTGTGATAGGAGCCCCTGGAGCCCTCTGGAAGGGTATTGGCCAAGGGCTGCAGAGAAGAGCTGTCCTGCAGCCAAAACTGCTTCCTTCAGATCCTGCTGGGTGCTGCTCTGTCCCCAGCAGCAGCACGAGGGCCTTCCTGGTGTCAGCTGGCGAGAAACGTGCCATCATCCGACAGTCCCTGTGACTGTTCCCTTCTTGGTGCTTCTGGATGAGATGAGATCAACTGTGTGTCTGCGTGGTGGTTAAAAAAATGCAGGTTTTGTCATGGTAACAAGGCACTGCAGAGGAGGGGAGCTGGGCACAGATAAGAGCCCTCCCTCCCGCTCTCCCCTCAGCTGAGTTTATCTGCAGTTTCCTGGCAGGGTGGTGAGCACTGGCACCGGGGTGCTGCGCTGAGAGACAAGAGAGAGGGAGCAAGGAGGATGTGCAGACAGGGCCTTTAAATGTGTATTGTGTAATCACCTGAGATAGGGAGCAGGAAGGCAGGAAAAGACAGGGGTTAATGGGTGAAGGAAGCACAAGGAGAGCCCTGGACTCTGGTGCGTGAGGTGATGTGAAGGCACCCAAGGAAACCAAAATGACTGGTGTGCAGTGATCTTTCCTGTCCAAGGTTCCCACAGCACTTCCCAAAGGTGTAGTGCCTGCCCTGGTGAGGGGCAAACACCCAGGAGCCATTTTATTTCCACAGAGACATCCAGGAGAGTTATGGCACAAGGGCTCTTGTTGCACTGCAGGGTGGCCCTCAATCAGCACCTTAATCCTCATCAATATGCAACACTCCCATATCTGGCAGGGACAGAGAGTATTCCTCAAGCTGGGAGTGTGAGCTTGTGCAAGGCTCTCTGTTGTCCCATCTCATCCCCTTATTGAGTCAGGGTAGAGCTGCTGACTTGCCTGTTTACCTCCTGCCTTCCCTTCTCTCTGGTTTTCAGGGCCCCTCGCGTGGCTCTGGGGTCAGTGGGGAAAAGCCAGCGGGTCCCAGCAGTGGGTGTGGGAAGGAGAGCCGGGCAGGGTGTCAGCTCCCGCTCGGAGCAGCTGCAGCCTGGCCGGACTCTAGATGGGGCTGAAGAGTTGGAGATGGTCCCTGTGCCCAGCCAGAGCTGGGTTTTCCTTGGGTTCGGGCACCCAGGAGCGTTCTCGGTCCCACAGCCCCTGCAGCTGGACATGCCGGGAGAGAGGAGAGACCCTCTCCTTGGGGAAAAGTCCCAGGGAGGGGCCGCCCAACCCCCGTGGAGGCAGCGAGGGGCAGCCTGGGCATCGCGTGCGGCTGCCACGGGAGGGAGGTTTGCAGGGATTCACATCCCGTGGGCGAGGCTGAGTCACGGGCCCGAGGGGTGTGTGCCGGCAGGCGGGAGGGGGAGGAGGATGCCAAGGAAGGAGGGGGGCCTGGCCAAGGCTCCAGCCCGTCTCAAGAGGCCTCCCCCCACCTCTCACGGCACCGCAGGGGACACCAGGCTCCTTCCCAGAGCCAGTGACACCAAGTGTCACCAGTTAACTTGGGCTGTGACGTGCCTTCCTTCCTTCCTCCTTTCCCTCCTCCTTTCCCTCGCCCTTTACGGAGTTTGCTGTGATTCATGTTTGTTTGTGGCAGCAAATGGTCGTGCACACAAAACAAATCGTGGTCCCCTTCCCCTGGGGAGCGAGACAGACAATTCCAGCTCGGCTTTGGAGGCAGCTAAAGCTGTGCCAGGCTTCAGCCCAGCTCAGTTTTAGTGGCTGAGAGCAACCCAGTTGAGCAGAGCGTGCTCCAGGCACGGCTGGGTGCAACTCAAAAATCCCCAAAACTTAGGCAGCCAAATGCTGAGTAACATTTTGAAGGCCTGTTTTGTGCCCGAGGTGCAGAGCTCTGGTGCTCTGCAAACATGACAATCATCATTAAAGTGGAAGCTTCTATAGCTGCATTAACCCTTTTGGGAGGCACAGACTCCTTTCTCCTTCCTTTTACAACATCTCGGGGCGCTGATAATGCTGATAATCCACCCTGAGGATCCCCAGTTCCCAAGCTTTCACCCCAGCTCAGCACTGGCAACCACAGATGCTGCCAACAGAGCAAGTCCCTGTGCTGTTCCTGCCTGTGCAGGTGGGATTTGTCGCTGGGTTTTGGAGCAGCACCACCCCATCCCAGCAGGAGCTGGTGGAGAACCGGCGCTCGCCTGGTTAACGAGCGCAGGGAAGCGGATTGCTCACCCTGTCATTGCACAAGCTGAACCCGGGCCAGTTCTTGATTTCTTAGAACTAAGTGAAGTGATGTCCCAGACATCACTGCGTCGCCAGTTGGCCCAGCCGTGCCGTGCGAGGAGCCCAGATCCAGCTGTAGCCTGTTCCGAGCCCTGGGAACGGCTCTTGGGAAAGGAGGGATGGGGGTCGGTGTGCAGAGCAGCCCTCGGCTCTCACCTGTGGCCACTGGAATGAGAGGGGCTGCTGCTTCGAGTGAGGAATCCCCCCCCCCCGGCACAGCCCCTGGTTGTGACCCTGGGAATGAGGATTCTGGATGAGGATGGGATGGAACGTCAGGATGGGAGCCGGAGGGGGAGTTTAAGGGGCAAGGATGGAGAATTTGGGGGGCAAGGATCGGAGCTGGAGGGGGAGCTTGAAGGGCAAAGATGGGAACTGGGATTTTGAGAGTCAAGGATAGGAGATGGAAGGGGATTTTAGGGGGCAAGGATGGAGCTGGAGGGGGAGTTCAGGGCGCAAGGCTGGAGTTTGGGGGGCAAAGATGGAAGCTAGAGAGGAGGCTGGGGGTCAAGTTTAAGAGCAACAGGGAGTTTTAGGGGACAGTAAGCAACACGGGGGGTCACCCACTGGCAGTGCTCAGCCTCGTGACTATGTCTGTGCTCCCAGACACGTTCCCGCGGTGCAGCCCCTCGTGGGGATGGCTCGGTGCGGTACCGGGAGGGCTCGGGGAGCCCCGCTGGGACTGGACACGCACCCCAAAACCGAACCCCCCTCTCGTAGTCCCCCCCACCCCCGGACCGGGCCGGCTGGGGGGGCCGGTCCGCACATGCTCCCTGCCTTGTTTTGCAGGGCCCGGCGGGGCCGGCCCGTCCCGTCCCGTCCCGCCCCGCCGGGGCCGCCCCCGGCCGCGCCGGGCGCTTAAAGCCGGGCTGAGCCGCGCCGTGCCGGGTTGAGCCGCATCGCGCCGGTTCTGGGCTGAGCTGAGCTGAGCTGAGCCGCGCTCGCCTCGCCATGATTTTCGATCGCCTCAAACGCTTCTCCATCGTGCTGGAGGGCGCGGAGCGGGACGGCCCGGCCGCCTTCAGCCCCGGGCAGGCGGTGTCGGGCCGCGTGGTGCTGGAGCTGGCGGCGGCCGCCCGGCTCGGCGCCCTCAGGCTGCGGGCGATGGGCGCTGCCCGCGTCCACTGGACCGAGTCCCGCAGCGCCGGCTCCAGCACCGCCTACACGCAGAGCTACAGCGACCAGGTGGAGTTCCTGAGCCACCGCGACACGCTGCTGGCACCCCCAGGTACGGCACCCCCTTCCCCCGCGGGCGGCACCCGGACTCCCCCCGGCCGCCGGCCGGAGTGGGGGCGTGGGGGCACCGGAGACCCCAGGGGCTGGGACAGTGGGGGCAGCCTGGGACACCCCTGGGGTTGGGTGCTCCCCGAGCGGCTGAAATCTGGGTGCGTGACACCCCCAAACTGCAGGGATCGGGGTGCCAAGGATGGCCCAGCTGCTGGGTGCGTGACGCCCCAAAACTCCGGAAATCTGGGGGCACGGCACCCCGACCGGCTGAGATCTGGGTGCCTGGTACCCCAAACGGCTGAAATCTGGGTGGCACGGGGTGCCTTAGGGTCTGGGCACTCTGGGAACTGGGTGTGTAGGTCTCTGCAGGCACCTCAAATTTGGAGTGCACCCCGGGGCCCTGGGATGCACAGCTGGACCGTGCTGCTTTGCAGGGCACCTCGATTAGGGACTGTCCCCCCTTTCCCAAGACTCCCCGTTTTCTGTGAGCTCTTCCTGGCAGGGAAGCAGCATCAGAAAACTCCCATGAAGGTTCAGGAGCTTGTTTTGAGTGGGGGGTTGGACTAGGTAATCCCCAGAGGTCCCCTCCAACCCCCGGAGTGCAAACCCTTGAGGGGTACTGGAGGATTGGTCGATGACTCTCCCTCCTGGAGTCCTGTCTGGGCATCTCTGGAGCAGAGCCCACCTGGGGAAGCTGTCTGGCTCTCCAGGGAGGTGCCCCTGGGTCGTGCCTGCGTGTCTGGAAAGCAGACGGTGCCCAACTCTTGTGTCACAGCTGCTGCAGTTTGACCCTGGCAGAGATACTGCTGTGCCCTCGTGCTGCTCCTTTGCCAGGCACTTCCCATCTCTGCTGCCACTTTACCCAGGGAGGGAGCTGTGCAGGAGGGAGCTTAATCCTCTCCAATCTGTTTTACCCACAGACAATGGTGAATCCACCGTCCTGCAGGCAGGAAGGCACGAGTTCCCCTTCACCTTCCAGCTCCCCGAGTAAGTTGGCTTTTTTTGGGGGTGACAGGGCGACTTGAAAAGGAGGTTCTTTGAGCAGAACCATTCTGAAACTGCTGGTTGCTCACCCACAGGACCCTGGTCACCTCCTTCGAGGGGAAGCACGGCAGTGTGCGCTACTGGGTGAAAGCCAAGCTGCACAGACCCTGGGCCACAGTGAAGAAGGCAAAGAGGGAGTTCACTGTGATTGAACCCATTGACATCAACACCCCTGCGCTGCTGGTGAGTTCCCCCTGCTCCACCCTGCCATTCAAAACTTGCCTGGGAAGTCCATGTCTGCCTAGGCCTGATTTCCAGAGGGAGTATTTACCCTGTAACTTATGCCCTCCAGCATTACCTGGGCTGGGCAGAGGTCAGCTGTGCCTCTTTGCTTTTGGAAACTTTAGAGCGTTGCAACAGCGTCTTGCATCAGATACCTGAGAAGTTGATGATGCTTCCCCAGCAGGTTCTTGGTGCCAGGGAGGTGATTGCTTTTGAGTTTCATCCTCGCTTACTAAATTGCTTAAATATTTCCCCTTCTCCAGGCTCCCCAGGCAGGTGCTAAGGAGAAACTTGCTCGTGCCTGGTACTGCAATCGTGGCCAGGTGTCTGTGACTGCCAAGATTGACCGAAAAGGCTACACCCCAGGTGAGATGAGGGGCTGGTGCCCTTGAACCTCAGGGGACACTGGAGTAGACCCCAGGGAAGGGGATTTGAGAGCACTGTGAGCTGGGTTCTCCTGGCATGAAATCAGTCAGAGCTTTAGTGCGTGGACCTGATGTGGGCAGCCTCCTTGGGATACTCCTGGATCCCAATCCACGTGCCTGCAGTGCTGGGTAGTGTGGCCAACCCTTGGTGATCCTGTGCAGGAATTCCCTGAGGCAGGGCTGGGCTCTGTCTCCCCTCCTCCAACACGCTGTGTGTCTGTTCTGGCAGGTGAGGTCATCCCTATCTTTGCTGAGATCGACAACTGCACGAGCCGGGCCGTGGTGCCCAAGGCGGCCATAATCCAGACCCAGACCTTCATCGCTCGGGGCACCAAGAAGCAGAAGAGGTCGGTGGTGACCAGCATCACTGGGGATTCCATTCCAGCAGGGAAGCGGGAAGTGTGGCACGGGCGGGCCCTCAAGATCCCGCCGGTGGGGCCTTCCATCCTCCAGTGCCGCATCCTCCAGGTGGAATATTCCCTGAAGGTGAGGGACCTCACGAGGAGCCCTGCAGGGGGCTGCAAGAATTCCCTCGTGCTCCGGGGGACGTACCTGCCCCTCCAGACTGTGGTGTTTACCACAGCTGAGCTTCCCTGCCGCTTCCTGTCTCTGCAGGTTTGTGTGGATATTCCTGGGACGTCCAAGTTGCTCCTCGAACTGCCTCTTGTCATTGGGACCATCCCGTTGCATCCGTTCGGGAGCCGCACGTCCAGTGTCAGCAGCCAGTACAGTGTCAACCTGGACTGGCTGAGCACCATCCTGGAGCAGCCAGAGGGTGAGCATCTCCCTCTCCCCTAGATAAAACCCCTGGTCAGGACAGTGAGGGTCAGACAAAGTTCTCAGCTGGACCAGCATTTGCTTTTTCTTTTAAACTTAATTTTTTTGGTTGTGCTGCTGAATCTCCCGGGTTCCTTCGCCAGGCAACGGGGAGGGTTTGGGAAATAGTGAGTTTGGAGCTCTTTTACCTGTGTGTCTCCCATTAATGGAGAGTGTTTCCTATTCCCTGATGGCTCTCCTTTCTCTTCAGCCCCCCCTGAGTACTCAGCAGTCGTGTCCAGCCCCGAGGCCGAGCAGAGCCTGGCCCCGCCGTGCCGCAGCGAGCTCGGGGACATCCTGGAAGGTCCCTTCTTCGCCTACATCCAGGAATTCCGCCTCCGACCTCCTCCTCTGTATTCAGAGGTAACACATCCCCCTGGGGCTGGGGAGGCTTCTGGGGATGGCTGGGAAGTGCCCACTGCCTGCTGAGGTTTTCTGACTCCAAACTTGGCTTTGCAGGTTGATCCCAACCCCCCGTCCGACGGCATCCGCCCGCGCTGCATGACCTGCTGAGGGAAGCGCGTCGGACACGGCTGACAGTGTGGTGCTCCCTTGGGATGGGAGCTTGCACGCCCTCAACAGCACTTCAGGCTGGAAATGGGGATGTGGTGTCCGTGAGACCGGGAGCTCTGCAGTGCCAAGACCCTGGCCCTGCTCACCGACCTCGGCTGCTGCTGTCGTGACTGCCCCACAGACCCACACCCGGCGCCTGTGCCGTGGCCTCGGGCGTGGGGGGAGAACAGGAGGGACCTGGCACTGTGGAGCAGCTCTCTGTGTGGCTGGGCAGGACGTGGAGGGTTTCATAACTGCCCTGGGATTTTGGGGTTGGAGCAGGGAACACCCGGCATGAGCCAGGACTGCTCTCCCCTCGCCTGCAGTGCCGAGCTCCGACAGCTCCTGTGTGAAAAACGTGGAAAACGGGAGCTTGGAGGCGTTTCTCAGGATTATGGAGGATGTTTTGGTGTTGCTCAGGGTTGAGCCCTGGGGCGATGCGGGTGCAGCCCTTTGCCTGCAGGTCCCTGAGGAAGCCAAAGGCCTTTTTCTGGCCAGATGAAGCAGAGGCTTTGGTTGCTGCTGATAATTCTTGCCACAAGCCTGTGGGTGCCTGCGGGGGGGAAATGGTTTTGAGCTACTCACCCAAAATGTAAGGGCTTCCAAGGGCTGTTACCAGGACTTGGGGGATGAATTTATGATCTGTGGCAGCGTTTTGGTGTCATTTACCAAGAACAGGAAGGCTGTTTCCCGTGTGTCAGCACCAAACCTGTGCACTGTGCTGGTACCTCCCCTGGAAAACCAGCCCCCAAACTGTGCTACCACCATGGGGGCTTGCAGCTGTGGCTGGTGGCCTAGGAAAAGAGAAAAAAGCCTAATCTAAGGTTGGTGGCAGCCACAGATGCTGATGGGAGATGATGTGGACTTGGAATGAATCTTTCAGGGCCAGGAGTCCTGCTCAAATGGGCTTGATCCTGTGCCCATAGAAGGATCGGTGGCCGTGGTGGGACGAGGACACAGCAGCAACCTGTGCTCCCTGGGGTGGGAACTGCTGTGGAACTGGTGAGCTGGATGTTGCAGCAGTGAGTGTGTGTGGCAGGGGGTGACCCTGCTCGCTCCAGGGTGACCTGAGCAGAGTTTGGGGGCCGAGGACCTTTGTATTCCCTCACTGAGACAATCCTTGGCCGTGCACATCCAAAGCCAGCGTGCCTTGGGCTCTGCACCGGGGCTGCCTCTGCTCGCTGGGGTTGCTCAGATGAGTCTTTTCTATCTGAACACTTTTGTAATGACCACTCTTGTCTCTACTTGTTTTGTATGACTTTTTTTTTTTTTTTTTTGTGGGGAATTTTTGTCTGAAATAAATTCCTTAACTATTGCCTGGATAGTTCTCTGTTTCTCTTCCTGCTTCCCATCATTCAGAGCCACATGGCTGTTGGGATGTGGGAGTTCTCCCTGCCCTGACTTCGTTGCCCCATTGGCATCCAGCTCCACCCTGTGCCCCGTCCCACAGTGCACTGGGATTAACTGGGTCACTTGGCCAGGATTGGTCCCTTGTGCCTCTGGATCCTCCACAGCTGTGCAGCTTTGGCTCTTTTCTCATTACCTGGGATGCAGGGCAGCGAGCAAACCTGTTGTACTTTTCCACACTTGCTTCCTGTTTTCATCCAGGCTCCTGGGAGGACCTTTTCCTCCATCCTGAGCTGGCAAGGATCCAGTAGGTCCAGCTGGGAGCTGGGACACTCCTGCTTTGGCTCAGCCAGTCCCAAGGAGGCTTGGGATCAGCCCCATGCTGTGCTGGCTGGGAAGTGCTGCAGTGTGGGAAGGGCAGGGAGGCTCCTTCACCTGCTTCCTCCGGCTGGGATTTGGTTTTTAACAGTGTTTCTGTGCTCCACGTCTCTGCTGAGCACAGCAACTCCTGGTGCGTGCAAGGCAGGGCTTGAGTCAGGGCTTGAGTTCTTCCACAGGCTCTGCTGATCATAAACACTGCCACTGGAATGTGATTTTTTTTTTTTCACCCCCCCCTTTATTTATTTTTCTGTTTGCTGAGCTGCTCGGCGCCGCAGTTGCATCCAAGCACGTGCTCCTGCCCTGGGCCACGGGAGAGAACTTGCCCCTGTGTTTGCCTGCGAGAACCCGGTGCTCCTGCAACCTCTATTCAAATCTGCTTTCCATTTGGCATCCCTGGTGCTCCGAGTAATGCTCCCTGGAGGAGGATTAACCGGCCTTTCAGGGAATTTGTTTGCATCCTCCTCAGGGGAGATCATGCCTGGATCTGCCGCTGCCACACGGTGCTGCATGGCCTCTCTGGGGCTTTTTTTGGTGACATCAAAGGGGACACGAAGCACAGCGCTGCACCCCCTGGGTAAAGATGCCTCCAAAGCGAGCCCTGTGACCAGGCTGATCCCATCCTGGCACAAGGGAGCCATTCTGTGCCTGCTCAGCGGGGATGGCCGGGGGCTGCTGGTCAGACCCGGATCATCTGCCCCGGCTGCACAAGGGGATGCTTATTCCCAGGGCTGGGGGGGAGGTGAGTGCCCAGCACCCCGTCTGTCCCACCGCTTCTTTCTGGGAAACCACGTCACACGGTGACTGGGACAGGCCATGCCGGGCCGGGGAACCCCATACCGGCAGGCACTGCTCCCGGCCCTCGTGTGGGAGAGGTCTTTCCAGCAGGGATTTTTGTAGCTGCCTCCAGGTTTTTCTCATACAGTCGGGCAGCAGAGCAGCGAGGCCGGGCTGGAGTTCCTGCCAATAAAAGGGCTGCTCTCCTGAATCCGAGGAGGGGCTAAAAATACCTCGTCTGGACACTGGGAGCCGGGGCACGGTGCAGACCAGCCCTAGGCAGTGCTTTCCCGACCTCGGGCAGTGCTGCCGGTGCTCTCTCCAACCTTCTGTTGTTTATCTTCCCCGGCTCCAAAGTCCTGATTGAACAGCCCGGGCTGTTCTCTGGTTTATTGCCACGGGGGGTTGGGGGCACACGGAGTCCCCTGGGGGTCTGCTGAGCAGGGATGGCCCCGTGCCATGTGTGGTGGTGCCGGCTCAGCACAGAGACCCGATCCCAGGCAGGAGGCGCGTGATGCAATTACAGTGCCGGGATTATTTATAGCTCTTGGCCCCGTGCGCTGGAAAATGTTGCCCAGACCACCCGGCAGAATCTGCTCCTTGAGAGGGGCACGGAAACCCGCCCCCAGCCCCCACTCTGCTCCTCTCTTTTCTTTTTTACCCTTCAGTCCCAAAAATGTGGGACCCTTCTGCTCAGGCCGTAGGGGTGCTGAGACTTCCCTCACATTGCAGCTCCACAGCTCTTCAGGGTGCTGGGACCCCTCCCCACTGCAGTTCAACATCCCTGCTGGGCGTTGGGACACCCCCTGCTACACCTCTGTGGCTCTGCAGGTTGCTGGGACTGACCCCAGCTGTAGCTCACAGCCCTGTAGGGTGATGGGATCTATCCCTCTGTAGCTCATGGATCTACAGGATGCTGGGACAACATCCCCCCCCAACACTGCAGCTCCTGGCACTGCAGGGTATTGGGACAAACCCCTCCTACACCTCCGCGGGCTCTGCAGATTGTTGGGACTCCCCAGCTTTAACTCACAGCCCTATGGGGTGTTGGGACCCTGTCCCTGCAGCTCATGGATCTGCGGAGTGCTGGGACCCTCCCCAAATGGCAACTCACAGCTCTGAAGGGTGCTGCGACACCCCCCTCGCTGCAGCTCATGGATCTAGAGGGTGCTGGGACTCCCCAGCTGCAGCTCAAGGCCCTGCAACCCCTTTCTGCATCGTGTTGGGGGGAGCTGCTCCTTCTCCCCAGCCCTCCCCGTTCCCGGAGGATGCTCGGTCCATCACTGTTGTCCCCTGGCAGGGAGTCAGTGGCAGGGGGTCAGTGGTGGCCGTGCCGACGGGAGGGTGACACGCGAAACTCGCGGCCGTCCCGGCGCTGGCAGGGACAGAATGTGCTGGAGCTGGCGCAGCCCTGCGAGGGCCGGGATTAACTGCGCCGCTGCTGCCTCCGGCCCGGGCGCCCGTCCAGCTCCCAAAACAAGCACCGCCTTCCCCCATCCCAGCTGGGCTGAGCCCTGCGGGGCGCAGCTCACCCCAAAACCTGCCCAGGGGCACCCGCTGGGGGCTGCTCTGTTTGCACGGGGTGGGGAGGCGGTCGATGATGATTAATCTGGGTTTTGGCCGCAGGGGAATGCCCTGCTCTGTCCCTGCGCTGGGGACAAGGTTCATGCACCGCCCAAATCCAGCATCTTTGTGCTGGTGGGATGGTGGGTTCACGGTGCTCCCACCCTGGGGAGCAGCGATCGGTGCTGATGGGGCTTTAGGGGGACCTGTTCACCCCCAGGTTGAATCCTGAGGAGACACACACAGTCCCCAGCAGCACCGGGCCTTGCTCTGGGTTTGCTCCAAGCACCGGCTGTGGATGGCACGGCTTGGCCCTGGCACCACCTCAGGGGTCTGGGGCTCTGGGGTCTCCGCCTTCCCGCGGCCGCGGCAGAGCTGTGCCAGAGCTCCGGGAAGCAGCCGTGCACCCCGGCATGCCAGGGCGGCATCGCGGCCGCCCCTCCGCCCGCTGACTCAGCCGCCTGTTTGCCGGAGCCGCTGCCGCCCACGGAAACCACAGGCAAAGTCCCCGCATCCCTGCGCCGGGGCTTTCCCCGCTGGCTCGACAGGAATCGCAGCTTTTCTCAGCCCGGTGCGGGAACCGAGCCCCTCCGGGTGCGGGGAGGGGGGTGAGGGGAAACTACGGGAAACCGCGGTGGGTTTGTGCCAAAAAGCGGGGTCTGGAGCAGCTGGGTGGACGTGTTGCACGTGCCACATGTCCCGTCCCCTGCCAGCATCGTTCCAAGGGGATCGTGGACCGGGACACTCCACAAACCCCGATGGCAGCGGGTGCTACCGGTGCCGGCCTTGCCGCAGGCTGCAGGGAGCAAACCACCTCCTTTATTCACTATATCAAACCCAAGCCCTTGTGTTTTTTTGGGTCTGACTCCCCCCTTTGGGGTCCCTCGCTGTGGCACCGCCGGGCCCCTTGCGCAGTCACTGCTCTCTCCCTCCTTTCCTCGGGCAATGGAAAATTTCTATGACTTTTTGACTTTTATCCAGTTGTTTGGGAGCGAGGAAGGGGCCGGCGCCGCGCACAAACATGTCTATGTATAAACACTGGGGACTGAATCAGGGACGGAGCCGCTGGCACCGGACCTTCCCCACCGAGCCGGGTGTCCCCCTATCTCTCCGGGACCCCAGTTGGGCACCCCCGTGCTCGGTGACCCAGAGCCGTCCCTGCGGGGACACAAATATTTTGGCTTTGATAAAAAAACAACAACAACAATACTAAAAAACAACAACGCTAAAAAAAATTCCCATCCCGAGCCATCCAGCGGCGGCGCGTGACGTGTTGGCACACAAACAGTGCGCGTGGGGATGGCGCTCGCCCAGCCCGGGGCTCCCACGCCGGGCTGGGATCTGCAGGTGACACGGCCGTGCCCTGCGACAGGGATGTGGCGCGACAGGACTTTGCTCCCAGCGCCTCTCCCCGCCCCGGCTGTGTTTGCTGTCGCTCCCCGGCGCCGCTTCACAGATCGTGGAGAAACCCCCGTCGAGCGCGGCGTGGGTGCCCGTCCCTTGTCGCGGGGACATGCCACGCCCTGACCCCCAAATCTCCCCACAGCTAAAACCTGGCTCGTGTGGGGCGTGTGCCACCGCCTCCCTCCCTGCTGGGCTGCTCTGGGTGTCCCCGCTGAGGAGGGAGGAGCCGGGGCTGTCACCCTCCCTGCTCACTGTCACCCTCCCTGCTCACTGTCACCTCAGCCTCGCTCCAGGGCAGGAGCGATGGCGTGACCCTGTCAAACCCCACGGCTCTAATCTCTCCTCCCACTCCCCAACCTCAAAGTCTTCCGAAAAAGGGTTATGCCCTTTTTTTCTTCCCCACCACCCTGCAATAAGCAGCAGTTTTGAGCTGATTTCAACAAAAAAACTCAGGCCAAGCTCAGTTTGGGAGAATCAGAACCACCGAATATTCTGAGCTGGGGTCCAAGGCAGCTGGCAGGGCTGCCCCCTGCCCTTTCACCAACCACATTTAGCGAGCCTGCGCCCCACTATTTTTTAATGTAGGCCTTTATGTGGAGCAGGGAGAGGCATTTTCCTGCCGAGCAGCTGTGTAAATGCCACCACACCGCGGCCCGGCGATGGGGGCAGCGATAGCCCGGGGGGTCCCAGCTGGCTGGAGGTGGCTGTGGCGGGCAGTGCCGGTGGGGAGGGCGCTGCCGGACGGTCCCGGGGAGGGCTGAGCCGGTTACCTCCGCTTTCCCGGCGGTTTAGTCTGTGAAAAAATGAGGGAGAGTCGATCTGCCTGCAAAGAGCTGGTAAACATCGGGGGAGCGGAGCTGGGAGAGGGGGTGTTGATCTTGGTCCTGTGTTTATCGCTGCAAAGCCGAGCTGGCTGCTTGCTCCGGGATGAGCCTGCACGGATGCGGGGGGGGAAGGAGGGGGTGTGTGCTGTAAATAGGGGATTTTGGGGGGTTCTCTGCTTCTTATCGAGCTGTCCTTAGGTCAACTCTGGCCGCCTGCTTGAGCAAAATATGTTTATGCTGCAAACCTCCGGCCGGCTCCGCTGCCAAGTGGGCAGGGAAAGCGCGTGCTGATAAGGGCGCTGCGTCCTCCCCTTTCCGATCACCCGATACCCAGGGAAGCGCACGGAGGCGGCCGCCCGCCTCCCTACACCCTGGATTTATGATTTCTTTTACTATTATTATAAAGTTTCCGTTGAAAAGAAAAACAACCACAATTCAATAGCTGCGGCTTCGCAGCTGCCAAAGCCTGGAAAGCTCCGGCCGTGCCAGCGGCTGAGCTGCCCCCGGGGCTGCCGGCCCTGAGAGCAGCCATCCGAAAACGTTAAAACTGCAGAGAGAAAATGCCTCCTGCCATCGCCCGAGCGTCCCCCTGGGAGGGGAGAAGATGGTTTTCACCCTCTTCTCCCAGCCCGCGTGCTGGGACACGCAGCATCCCGGCGGGATTTTGAAGCGAGTTGAGCACCCAGTGCAGCCTTGGGGGCAAATCCAAGCCCCCCTCGGTTTGTTAAATATTCAGTTTTGGTGCTGCTTTGAGTCGCTTTCCCTCCTCGGGTTTGGAAACAGCGCTGGCCCGGGTGAGGTTGTTGCAGGCGGGTTCAGGCTGACGTGAGCAGGAAAGAGCCGGGGCGGCCGCGGGGCCTGTTTGCGAAGGAGAACCGAGTTGTTGTTGTTGTTGTGACACCGAACGGTTGCAAAACGCCGGAGCTGAAACACCCGTGACTTTCAAAACAAGCTGAGCCCAGCTGCGGCTGGCGTCTCTCTGTCCAGATGTGTCCATCCGTCCAGTTGTGCGTCCCGCAGCCCCTTCCCCTCTGCAGGATGCCTGTGCCAGGAATGCTTGAAGGTTTTCTTGTTTTTGTTTTTGTTTTTTTGGGGGTGAGAAGAATCCCAGAAGCTTTTTTTTTTTTTTTTTTTTTCTTTTTTTTAGAGAGGAGAAGCCCAAATTCCGAAGATGCTGAGATTTTACTGCCCCAGGGATCTGTCGGGCATCCCGCCCACCGAAGTTTTGCAGTGCTGGGGGTGTGGATGAAATGAGCCGTTCACCCCCGGGGCGAGACACAGTTCTGCTTAAAAAATGAAAAATTCTAAAAAAAAAAAAAAAAAAAAAAAAAAAAAAAAAAAAAAATCCCAGGGATCAGTTTGTTTGCTTAGGGATTAAGTCACCTAATCTGCCTGGCAGCGGGTGGCATTGTGGAGGTGGTGGCAGCGATGGCTTTTTGCCCGGCAAATAATCCTGCTCTCAGCCACGGCTGGTGGTCGGGCTGGGCTCAAACATCACACTGGCATCGGCTCTTCTCCGGGCTGGGGCTCAGGAAGGAGGAGAGGATGCTGGGTGTAGGGAAAGGGGTGGGAGAAGGATGGATGGGCGAGAGAAGGGACTGGGAAAGGGATGGATGAACGAGGGAGGGAAGGGGTTGCAGGACTGCGACATTCTTCTCTGCTGCCCGTGCTAAAACCAGGCTGTGGCTCTGCGGGGCTGATTCCCCGAGGCTGAGAAACAGGTTAAACTCCTCGATCTGGGAGCAAAACACCTTAATCTGGGGAGAAAATATCAGCCTGGGCCTGCAGGGATGGACCTCGCCTTCCCTGGGGGCTTAGACCTCCCAAGGGCTGATGTTGATGGGGCCATAGCAAACCCCTCTGGTAGTTTTATGTTTTTCCTCTGGTGCCATCTGAGCTTGCATCCCCCGAAATCAAGATGAAATGGCTTCAAGTTCCTGCAGGGGAGGTTTCAGGAAAAATTTCTTCACCCAAGGGGTGATCAGGCATGGAAACAGGCTGCCCAGGGCAATGGTGGAGTTCCCATCCCTGGAGGGATTTAAAAACCATGTGGATGTGGCACCTGGGGACATGGTTTAGTGGTGGGCTTAGCAGTGCTGGATTAATGGTTGGACTGGATAATCTCAGAGGGCTTTTCCAAATTTTATGATTCTAGAAAATCAGGGAGCTCAAAGCAAATCCCCAGGTTCCCACCACCTTCCTGCAGCTCTGGCTGCCCCATCTGCCTTCTTGGGATGTGGTGCTGAGTTTTTCACTTCCAGGTAAATCCAGCTGCACATATCCCTAGTGCCATTTACTTTTGGGGGCACACCACTGGGACTCTGTGGGAATAAGGAGGGAATAGGTTTTCCCCTTTAAAGCAGGGATGCTTCATGTTTGCCTGGGAAACAGCACTGTCACTGGTGGTTTGGGCAGTGCTGGCACCAGTGGGTGTGAATAGGGGACCCCATAGCTTTGGGATCAATGCTGAACCCCTTGTGCCTCCACTATTACACCCCCCAGCTGGTCTGACCTTTATTTTCCCTGCTGTGATGGCTTTTGGCTGCTTATCCTGGAGTCTCCTGTTGGGTGTAATGAGTTGCCCACCCTCAGGCTGTGGGTGGTGGTGGCTCTCACCAGGCATAACTGATGTCTGGGTCCTGCACCCATTCAGATCCGCATGGAGGAGCAGGGAAGGTCATGTCCTGGCTGCAAAGTCTGGCCTGGCAGCTGCCCTTGGATCACCAGGCTCGACACAGCTCCCGGGGACTCATTCGGAAAACAATCCTGTGAAATTTAAACTAATTAGAAAGTCCCGAGCCACTCGCTCGCACTAATTGGCCAGTTATGGCTTGATTAGTTTTCCCTGGCACGTTGTCCATGGGCACCGTGTTCCTGGCAGAGCACTGGCCAGCTCAGGACATGTGTGGGAAAAGATGCACAGGGTCATCCCTGAAGGCATCAGAGGGGGTGTGAGTGGCACCATGGGTGGGACGGATCCCTGGAGGGTGAAATCATGGGGGATCATGCTGTTCACCCCCTCCCCAGGGTGTTTTTGATGCAGCAATTGGGACTGTCTGTCCTGCTGTGAACTCATTCCATGAACTGGAATGATTAACTGGCGTCGGCGCTGGCCCCGAGCCGGGCAATGTGTTTACTGCTGCCACCCAGCCGCGCTGAGCCGTGACCCCAGAGCTGTTTCCTTCATCGTTCTGACCCCAAAAACCGGGCGGTAAACAGGGGCCGGGGCTGAAACCCGAGTGTGCACCCGCTCCTGTAACCGGATACTTCCTCCCTGTGTGCCTGGTGCGCTCCGGCGGTGAGCCTGGCATCGCCCAAATCCCGACAAAATCCCTAAATCTGATCCCCGCGCCTGGGTTTCTGCGTGGCAGGACTCCAGATCTCCAGCCTGCAGCCGATCCCCCCCCAGGGATTTGGGGTGCGCGAGAGAGGACACAGGGGGCCTGTGAGGTGATGCGAGGCGGGGAGGGAAGGATGGATTTGCTCTTCCAAGAGGCTGGGAAGCGCCGCGGGGACGTGGGGCTGGTGCCACCTCGTGGCTTCGCCAGCAGCTGAACGTCCTGGGAGTGCGGTGACGGACACCGGGGTGATGCACGGGGTCCTGAGCGGGACCCCCAGCCGTGGGAGCAACGCCATCGCAGCCACTATCGCCTCTGGAGCGCTGGGGATGGCCGTAAATCCCAGCCCTCCCGTGGCCGGAGGGGGTTGCGAGGTGAACGTGCCGGCCCGGCACCCCCTGTGCGGTGTCTCCACTCGCGGTTTCCTCCCGCTGTGGCGGGTGCTGCGAGAGCGATTTTGGTGAAATCCTTTGCAAAACGCGAGCTGAAAGCAGCAGCGGTGGGGCCGAGACGTGCGCTGGTGGCTGAGACACCGCGGCGGTGCCTTACCTGGACTTCCCCGTGCTACAAACCCCACGTAGTTTGTAGGATTTTTTTAAAAGTTTTTTGCTCTCTCAGCAAGTCAGCGCCGACGCCGCCAGGCAGAGAAAACCGCAAATCGCTTTTCATCTCCAGTTCTGCCCCAGATAAAGCCTGAGGCCACAACGTGGCCCCACGTGAAGGGGCTGGGGGGGGCCCCGAGGGATCACCCCAGCCCGGCTGTGTCCTCTGCAGCGCCGTGGATTGCCCTCGGCTCTAAATCCTTGCTGCAATCTGCCCGGGTCAGGGGAGGAAAAACCATCTCAGCCCTGCTGCTTTGTGGAGTTACTTTATTTTTATGTTTGCTTTTCTTCCCCTCTTTATTTTTTTTCTGATTTTTTTTATTTTTTGCAGGTAGATGGTGTTTGGTGCTGGGGTTCTTTGCGTCCCCATCCCATGGAGGGGATGCTGGTCCCAGCCGTGGCAGCTGGCAGGGATGAAGTTCTGCCTCTCCTCCTGATCCAGCCAAGGAAATACCCTCAGCCCTGGACCGACTCTGCAGCCACTTTCCCTTGGTTTTTATTCCAGGTGAAAAGTTGAAGCTGGGAAGTGTGTGGCTAAAACCTGGCACAGTGCAACACTGAATCCAGAGGCATTGCATTGTCCTGGAAACCAGAAAACCCCCCTGAAAGTGCTGGTGTGACCGTGATCCCACGGGTTGGGCACCCAGCATCCCACACAGACACTCAGCACCCCAAGGGACATGCTGTTCCTACCATCCATCCCTGCTGCTCCAACCTGCTGATGGCTACGGCACCGACTTCTCCGGCGCTGGATCCCATCCTTCCTGGTCCCTGATGATGATGGATTTGTTGGAGATGAGCAGGGTAATGGGGATCAGGGGCTGGTGTAGCCCCTGCCTTCCTTCCTCCTCTTCTTCCTCCTCCTCCTCCTCCTCGCTGCGTGCATGCCCAGTGCAGCTGGTGCTGCCAGGGGGTGGAGATCCCACTGGGCTCAGCATCTCCTGCCTGCGGTAGGCAAAGGTCATCTCCTCCTCACAGCCTGCTGGACACACCACCACCACCTCCGCTGGCTTCTCCTCCACAGGGCTGGGCTGTGACACGCCGGGCTGTGGCACACTGGGATGTGGCCCATCAGTCTGTGTGCTGGTGTCAGCTGTCTCCTTGCTGGGATTCGGCTCCGGCAGCAGCAGCTCAGCTGGGTTGAACCTCTCCGAGGGCTCCAGGAGGTCTACCCGGGGCTGGCCCTAAGGGTTGGGTGGGTTTGGGGCAGAATGTCCCTTGCCAGGACCGCGTATGGGCATTTGTGGGTAGCACTTTGGGTCTCACCTGGCCCTTCTCGCTGTCGGAGAACTGGATGGCGTTGGTGCCCACGGGCTTGGGAAGAGGTGGGAAGAGGAGGCGGCGAGCCCTGGGAAGGGAGGGGGTGGTTAGTGAGGGGTTGGGCAATAGGGGGTGGTCTGAGCAGTGTGGGGGGTGAGGGTGCTGCTGTCACCTCTTTTTGGTCAGGTGGTAGATGACAGCCACGACGGGGACACCAAGTGAGGTGCCCAGGTACCTCAGGTTGGCTCTCCACACTGCTCCCTGGGCACCTGGGGACAGGTACGGCTGGGTGGTGGCATTCCTGTCCCCAACACCCCACATGGGACACAGGAGACATTTCGGGGTGAGGGGGATGATGGGGTCCTATCCCATTACCCAGCGCCTTGGTGTGGAATTTCTGCCAAGCACTGCAGGTGCCCTCGCTGTCCTTCGTCACCTCCCAAACACCCACCCTGTAGGCTGTGCCAGGCTGCAGGTTTTGGAGGGTGTAGTTTGCTGCCGTGGCATCCGCTTCACTGTCTGGGCAAAAGACAACAAGTGGGCATCAGTCTGGCAGCTGCCTGGGCATCGCCCTCCTCCTGCCCCACAGGGCTGGGGGGGTCCCACTCACAGGTCATGTTGTCCCTCTCAGCCATGTGGCAGATGAGGTACTTGGCCAGTGCCCCAGGACAGGCGGCACGGGGGGATGGTTTCCACTGGAGGACCACACTGGTGTCTCCGCTGCTGATCTCGGTGGGCACGGCCAGCGAGCCTGCGGAGGGCGGTGCCAAAAAACAGGGGAGCATTTCAGGAACCCCCTTTCTGGAGTTGAGCCAGGCACTGACGTGCTGTGCTCCCACACCTACCATTGCTGGCGTAGTGGTGCCACAGGGCGAAGGTGGCCCAGCCCGTCTCCGGGTCCCAGCCGTGCACGGCGAGGCGGTGACACGCCGGCGCTCCCAGTGCTCCTGGGGCACCAACTGGTTAGACCCCCACCAAGCTCTGACCCTAGATGGGGGGCTTAGGGGTGCTGCCTTGCCTTTCTCCACGTGGATGCTCTTGGCAGGGAATTCCTCTCGGATGCAGACACCCTCTTGTGGGGCTTTTGCCAGGACCTGCTGCTCGAAGCAATAGGCCTTGCCTGGGATTGGTGCTTCCCACCGCGCCATCACAGTGCTACCAGCCACGCTGACATCCTTAAAGCTGAGATCTGGGATGAAACAGTGAGGGGTGTGGGGGATAGCTGGAAATAATAACTCCCTGAGGGGCTGCCAGGGGAGCTCAGCCCTCCTGTGGGACAGGTACCTGTGTGCTCCTCTGCCGGCACGTGGAGCCGCGACACTGGCCCCGGCCCCGCGGCATTGACGGCCCTCAGCTGGATTTCGTATTCAGCCCCAGACAGGGTGAGGTGGTGCTCCCTCACCTCCCACCCCAGCACCACGATGTCCTCCTCGTCCAGCCCAGCACAGCCACACGCCAGCATGTGGGTGTGCAGTGTGTAGTTGACATCCCTTTGCCCCTCGAGGACTGGCTGGGGAAGGAGAGTGGACAGTGTGGGGGATGAAATGGTGGGGGGGAAAACTCAGGAGGGTCCTCACAGATGCTGCTGTACCTGCCAGCTCAGCCTCAGCACACGCTGCCCATCTCTCCCTAGTTTTTCCAGCTGGTGGCTCAGCGCTGGGCTCTCCAGGATTTCTGCAGGAGGGACAAGCCTGACTGAGCTATTAACATTTTTGGGAGCTGTTGGGATCCCACCAGCCTCCCCTCCTCTTCCTCACCCTCGGGAACAGAGATGTTGCTGCTCCAGTCACTCCAGTAGCTGTTCGAGGTCTTTTGCCGTAGCTGGACCACAAAGGTGCCATTTCCCTCCAGGGTACAGTTCACTAGAGAGGGGTGGCAGGGTCAAGTTTCCCCAGCTTTTGGCCATTGTGGGGTGCTGGGGGAGAGCACAGGGCAGAGCACTCTGCCAGAACCTGGGAATACCCCCAGAAGATGCTTGTCTCCAACATCCCACAGGCTAAACCAACCTGAGTCATCTTCATTTTTCACCATCACAGTCGTACATTCCACCTGTAGAGAAGAATGGGAATGAAGACACCCTCACAGTAAAACTAGTATGTTACTTGGACCATCAGTATGATCTGCAATCATCCCAGGGGCTGGGAGAACCAAATGGAGGGGACACAGTGGCTTGAGGGGTCTCCTTGGTTGGGGTAGCCCCTCTTCAACCCTGAGACCCTCCTGGCAGCAATTGAGAAGAGTGGGGGGTCCCCAGCTGTGGGGGCTTCACTGGGGACAAGCCTCCAGATTTCATCTGTTGTCGTCATTAGTATAATCTGGGGTTTTGCCTGTGTAATCCCTGCAAATCACGGCCTGATCCTGTTATGGGAAGCAGGAGGATCCCATGGCCGGAAGACGAGGCAGAGCCGATAAAGCAGCGAAACAGATGGGGCACAGCTGGGTTTGGGGCAGGGGGTGGGGACACACAACAGTGACATCACTGAGCCCCCACACTCCCTGGGCTGCCCCAGTGCTCCCAACTGTCCCAGCTCCAGCAAACAGTGTTTTACCTGTGTCCAGCACACTGTCTCCTGCCCTCCAGGATCGAGCCTCCCGCTGTGCTGGCTGGTCCATGGCACGGCACTGTGGCCGTGGCACCCGCAGCCTCAGCTGGCTGCCAGTCTTGGAGAAGGGCACCTGGGTGGGAGGTGGATCTGGTTTCTCTGAAAAGATGTTGTTTTGAATGGTTTTGGTAGCTACTGGTCCCAGTGCTGGCGCCCAGCCTGGTCCCACAGGCACTTACCAGCCTCGTTGAAGACAAATGTGATGTTGGGGGTCCTGTGGACGTGGCCCTCCCAGCTCGCCTCCACCCAGGCCACAGTGCTGATGAAGATGTGCACATCGTGACGTCGCAGTTTGTAGTTTGTCATCTTGCCTGCATCATACTTGCAGCACCTATTGGAGCTGGGGAGGGAGCAGGCACAGGGTCGAATCTGGGTGAGGCAGGACACGACCCATGGGCTCCCCCTCCACAGTGCCCAACTCACCAGAGGTACAGGGTGTAGGAGGTGTTGCCAGCAGGGCCGAGGGCAGACCAGGAGCAGTGGAAAGAGCTGGTGGAGCTGCATTTCTTCCAGCAGGAGAAGTTCTGGGTGGTGACGGTGCTTGTGGTGGCGGGCAGTGTCTGTGGGCTCCAACATCCCATACCCTTTCCCGTGCACTGAGGGAGCAGCGCTGTAGATGTTGCCTGATCACCACTCTGCTCAAACGGGGTATTGGAGCAGCCACACGAGCGATTCTCACCCAGACCCCCCACTCCCCCCATCCCCAGTGATGCTGGTGCCGCTCACCCCAGTCCTGCCCGCTGCCAGCGGGGATTCACCGCCTTTACTCCATCCCTGTGGTTATGGGTGAGCGTCTCCATTGCAGCACCACCTCCCCGGGCCTTATCGCCCCCGAATCACTCATTGAAAGTCTTCTGAAGTTATCTCTCATCTCCCAGCACCGCAGCAGCAGCAGCACTTACCGCCCGCCGCCAGCGCCGCCAGCAGCCACCCCAACATCGCCCACCTGGGGTGTCCTACACCGGATTCAGGGCTTCCCTGCCCTTCCTGGCTACCCAATCCCCCAGCACCCAGTGGGTGCCCCTCTCAGGCGCGGCGGCAGCCCCGGTGCTCAGCGCAGCTTCCCGCACACGCTGTTTCCTCTTCTGCTCAGACCTTGCCGAAGGGCGGGCGGCCGTTCCCAGGCAGGTCAGAGCCTGAGACGTGAGTGCCTGCCTCACTTTTACTAAAAACAAAAGAGAAAGCGACGCAAAATATCCCGCTTTTTTTGCCGGCACGGCTGCCGGGATGGGGCCGGCCCTGCCCCTCGGCTGCACCGCATGTCCCGGCTGCGCCACGTGCCCCGGCACGGCCAGAAGCGCAAGGTAAGCGAAAGATGACTCTTGGGGTTTTTGGTTGGGCTGGTTTTTTTATTTTTTTAGTTTTTTTCTCAAACTTCACAGTGTGGTTTTGATCCTCTCTGCCCGTAACTGGGCGAATCTCCAAGGCTGAGGTTGCCCGGGGTTCTTTGGGGAGGGGGGTGTGTGTTTCCAAACCTGGCTGCTGTGCTTGTTCCCAGCACGGCTCGTTCCCTGCGCCGCGAACAAAGCCCCAGTGAGGCAGGAGAGAGCGGTGGCACCGGGGCACCAGCAGCCGTGTGACGGGCGGGTGACCCCGGGACGGTGGAGCCGGGTGGCACCGAGGGCCGCGCACAGAGTCCCCTTGTTCCCGCAGAAAGCGGCTCCTTGTGTGGAGCTCGCTCGGGGCTGGAGGGCAGTGGTGGCGGGAGTGTCCCTGTGCTGGGACAGCGTGGGCACGGCCGGGATGGGTGCACAGAGGGCCCCCTGGTGCCTCCGGCGTCCCTGTGTGCCCTCCCTGTCCTGCCCACCGGGGTGGGGGTACACACCAAGCTGTGCTGTGCTGAACTGGGCCATGCTGGGCCTTGCTGTGCCACAGCAGGCAGCAGGACTGGGCTGTACTGGGCTGTACTGGGCTCTAGGCCGTGCCATGCTGAACCAGGCCAGGTCATGTTGTACCGTGCCAAACTAAGCTGTGCCATGCTGGACCATGCCATGCTGGACTGTACTGGGCAGTGCTGCCTCAGATCATAAATGCTGTGCTGTGCTGTGCCAGACAGGAGAGATCTGGGCTGGACCACACTGAGCTCCCACCAGTGCCCACTGTGCCAGCCCCAGGCCATGCCATGCTGGGCTATGCCAAGCCAGGAAGACTGTGCCAGTCCTGGGCTGTCCCATGATCTGTTGTGCCACCATGGCAGACTCTGCCATGCTGGGATGTGCTGAACCAAGCAGATGGTTCCAGCCCCATAATGTGCTATGCCATGCCAGGCTGTGCCATGCTGGGCTGTACTGAGCTGTACCAAGCCAGGGAGATCAGACCAGTCCCAGACTGTACTGTGCCATGCCAGCCCCGTGCTGTGCCAGTCCTGTGCCTTGACAGCTGCATGCCATGCTGTGACAATCCTGTGCCACATTGTATCATGCCAGCCCCAGGCCAGCCCCATACCTTGAGAGTCCTTTGCCATAATAACTGCATGTTGTTCCACGACCCACCTGCCAGCCCCGTGCCATGCAATGCCATGCCAGTTCTGTGCTGTGCTAGCTCCATGCCGTGCCAGCCCCATGCTGTGCCATGCCAACCCCATGCCCTGCCAGCCCCATGATGTGCCAACACTGTGCCACGCCATGCCAGACCCTGCCATGCTGGGCTGCACTGAGCTGCACCGAGCCAGACAGACTGTGCCAGTCCCACTCTGTTCCGTGCCGTGCCCGCCTCGTAGCGTGCCAGTCCTGTGCCACGACAGTAGCCTGCATGCTGTGCAGTGCCGTGCCATGCCAGCCCCGTGCCATGCTATGCCATGCCAGTTCTGTGCTGTGCCAGCCCCATTCTGTGCCATGCCAGCCCCGTGCCATGCTATGCCATGCCAGTTCTGTGCTGTGCCAGCCCCATTCTGTTCTATGCCAGCCCCGTGCCGTGCCAGCCCCATTCTGAGCCGTGCCAGCCCTGTGCCATGCTATGCCATGCCAGCCCCGTGCTGTGCCAGGCCCATTCTGAGCCGTGCCAGCCCCATTCCGTGCCGTGCCGGCCCCGTGCCGTGCTATGCCATGCCAGCCCCGTGCCGTGCCAGCCCCATTCTGAGCCGTGCCAGCCCCATGCCGTGCCAGCCCCATTCCGTGCCGTGCCGGCCCCGGTGCCGGTGCTGATGCGCGTCCGGTGACGCGGCGGGGCCGCTGGGCGGCGCCCCGGGCTCACCGGCGGGGCGGACCGGGCGCACCGGGCGGAGCGGGCGCAGCGGGAGGCGGCGGCGGCGGCGGCGCGGCGGGATGGACGAGCCCAGCATCCTGCGGCGCCGGGGTCTCCAGGTGGGCACCGGGCACCGGGCACGGCGAGCGGGCACCGGCACCGGCGGGGCGGGGGGCGGGAGGGAGCGCGGGGAGCGCGGAATCCCGGTGAGCCCGCGGAGAGGGGGTCCCGGGGTCTGCGAGGGGTGGGCGCTGCGGGGGCGCGGGGGCGGGAGCTGGTGGGTGAGAGGGGGGGTGTTCGGGGCGCGGGTGTGCAAGAGGTGGGTGCCGCGCGGGGGAGAGGCGGGTGCTCCGGGTGGGAGGTGGGCGTTCTGAGTGAGAGGCGGCTGTTCCGGGTGTGGGTGTGCGAGAGGTGGGTGCTGCGGGTGCGAGGTGGGTGCTGCGGGCCGCGGGTGTGCAAGAGGTGGGTGCTGTAAGTGAGCAGCGGGTGCTCGGGGTGCGCGTGGAGCGGGTACTGCGTGTGCAAGAAGTGGGTGCTGCGGGTGAGAGGTGGGTGCTCTGTGTGTGCAAGGAGCGGGTGCTGTGAGCCAGAGATGGGTGCTCTGCGTGGGGGTGTGTGCGAGAGGTGGGTGCCGCGCGTGGGAGTGGGGTGCTCTGAGTGGGGGGTGTGTGAGAGGTGGGTGCTGCGGGGGCAAGAGGTGGGTGCTGTGTGTGAGCAGTGTGTGGCAGGTGGGACAGGAGCCGAGCACCCAGTGCCGGCAGCAGGGCAGGGTGTGAGCCCAGCCGTGCCATGGGATGTTATTGGGGGCACCCAACTGGGTGGGGGCTCCCATGGGAGCACCGTGGTCCCTGCAGCCCAGCACATGATGCCAGTCCATGCCAAACCACTGTGTCAGCACCTCTCTGAACAGCTGCCCCTTCCACTGCCCTGTGCTCGTGCTCCCCAGGCTGAGGGACACCCACTCTCCTGCCTCCTGCATCCCTCAGGAACGCCGGGCACCCACTGCCGTGCTCAGAGAGGTCATGACCACGGACCCCCCGGCTCACATTGCCGAGTGCTGAGCCGGATTTTCCGGGTGACCTCCCGCCTCCATCCCCATCTGCAGTTGCCGGGGGGCCCGGGCGGAGCTGTCGGGGCGGTTGGAGGATGGCACTGGCGCTGCCTTCATCCGAGCTGGCAGCTCCGCGGGCAGCTGCGCTCCGCTGCACGCTCGGCCCGGGGACAGCCCTGCCCAGGAGCTGCCTGCCCACGGGTGGGGATG